AGATCACAGTTTGCCAGTGGTATGAAACATGTGCAGGGGACGAACAACTGTGTGGAGGAAAGGCTGTCCAGAATGCATGTGAATACAGCGCAACAAACCACTGTAGACTTCAAAGAGCCGTCTGAAAGAAGCATGTCCTTTCTGCAAATAGCCATAATCTCAAACTTAAACTCATCTGTAGATGACAATTCTACATATTGCAGCATAACAAAATATTCACTCAGGCTCTTTGACCCTAAACATGTACGAAAAGTTGTATTTTGTAATTTTCAAACGTTGTCTTAAACCGGAGCAAGAGCCTCAGATAAAGTGATCTCGGCAAGATATTTGTCCAAGCCTACAATGCGACGTGCTAAAGTGGATAAGAGAGTTCATGGCATTCCAGGGGGCTAAAATACGAAGACACACAGTGTTATCCTTTGGAATATTCTTGCAGTTAGATACTTGTTCAGCTCATGTTCGGGTGGACTTAGTAGGTCCCCTACCGTGCAAAAGCGAATTTACTTACTTACTAACTTACATGCAGCGACAAGTTCACCACGTTCGCAGTGGCTGCAGCACCCGCTGATATGACGGCGGAAATGGCAGCGAAAGCCCTTCTTCAACACTGGGTAGCCATGTTCGGTATGCCTATAACAGTAACAACTGACAAAGGGGCTAAATCAAAGTCAGGGCTTTTTAACAACTTTTCAGTCACATATAATACGCCACAGAGCGTGTTACCCTCAAGCAAACGACGTAGTAGGACGCTTTCGTAGATACTTGAAGGTTGCGTTGACATGTCACTGCAACCCACCCACCGGACAGAATTCCTCCCAATGGTAATGCTTGGCGTCCCATGGACAGCAAATGTGATGCCCAATCTATGCAGCTAAAATGGTATTCTGAGGCACACTGAGACTACCTGGTGAGTTGATCAGTCCCTGCAGTGATGGAGACAACCTGGCCAAATATGCTGACGGACTTCAGCCAAACATTGCCAATTGGAGGCCGACCGACTCACGAGAACAGCCAAGAGCTATATACATACCAGAGGACTTGGATTCTTGCCCCTATGTTTGGGAGAAGTAAAACACAAGCACTTCTCAGTTCGCCATACGAAGGGTACTTAAAGGTTGCAACGGGGCACGATAAACACTTAATCATTCGACGAGGTATTATCAGTGAATATGCTAGAATGTACAAAACGAAACCCATCTATCCGATGAAAATATAGCATTCTTCAAACATCGGTGTTTTAGTGTCAGTAAAAGATTCATCATTGTGGAATAGATTAGACAAATTATAGTTATGTTTCAATAGTTTACACACAATGTCTTCGTTGTGCTTTTTTCCGTCAAAACAACCAGACTTTGACGGAAGGATACGAGATATACGTGTAGCATTATACATTGCAAATGAACGTTGTCAGCCTAGGGAGTTTTCTTTGTTAATGCATTTATTAGTGATACTTGCACTTACCCATTTCATTACAATTTAATGATTCACCTCAGCACTTTTACTTTTCTAAAACAGCTTTCAATCCCTTGTAAACGTTGTACTTACCTCAATATTGGTTGGTTATCGTATGCCGACAACCACGGGATGAAAACGAAACGAAGTCGATTTTCCCGCTCAACATGGAGGACAACTGTACAATTCAATAACTATACAGCCTAGTTCAAACAATGTGTATTTATATATATATATATCGAATATTTAACTGTTGAAACATTATTAACTTGTAGACAATCTACGATTTGATATTATATCATACTTGATCGTGCCTGTAAAAATGGCATGCATTTTCATGTAAATTTATATGTTTATATGAGAATATACATTATTATTATTATTAAATAAAAAGGGTAGGTTTTAGCTTCATCAAATGCCTGGGTAGTTAAGATAGTATGATAGTACTTAGACAAAGAATTATTGAGAAGTATATAAGTAATAGTTTAGTGAGAGGTGGCTTCAAAGATCTAAAATATTAGAGCCTGTAGAACATGCTGACTTGTAAAAAGTCTCACGAATTTGTGCAGAAGACATGGGGTAGTATATTGGCGAAAAGCTGAGCGGACTTGTAAAAGTTAGGATCGGAAACACTATTTTTATTTAGATCCAAACAATTATTACTCTTTTGTTTTGACATATGTCAGGCCTCATCTAGAATGCTACACACAGGCGGTGAGTTCATGCCTCAAGCAGGCACACATGTTCAGAGGGTAGGAACCAAATTAGTTACTAGTACCTCACACCTTCTTTATTGTAAGAGGATGGTTAATTTAAATCACTTTCCATTATCATACAGAAGGAGAGGCAACTTTATTTTGGCATACCGTATATTAGAGGATGATTTAAGCATCAATCTTTCTAATCTTTTCTCCCCCTCTTCGCTTCATTAACGAGGTCACCACAAGAAGATGCTGAAACCGAGGACGAACATAATACATGTGGAGTTTACATTAGTTCCATTACACTGTGGTCAGTGACTGGAATTCCTCACCTAATTCAGTAGTATCAGCTGCATCGGTGAACGCTTCAAAAGATGAATTAGAGCTCCGTGGAAATATATATTTCAAAGATTTAACACAGGCAACAGGGTCCTGCTGTCCTTGTGCCTGATTCCTGCATCTTGCATGCTGACTAGCATATATGATCGTGGTCACAAATGTGAATAGGTCCAATCTGTAGGACAGCAAAATGCATTTTTGATTGTTCGAGAATTAAACATGAGTTTAGATTCTTAAAACAAAAGAGTAATAATTGTTTGGATCTAAATAAAATTAGTGTTTCCGATCCTAACTTTTACAAGTCCGCTCAGCTTTTCGCCAATATACTACCCCATGTCTTCTGCACAAATTCGTGAGACTTTTTACAAGTCAGCATGTTCTACAGGCTCTAATATTTTAGATCTTTGAAGCCACCTCTCACTAAACTATTACTTATATACTTCTCAATAATTCTTTGTCTAAGTACTATCATACTATCTTAACTACCCAGGCATTTGATGAAGCTAAAACCTACCCTTTTTATTTGTATCCTTCCGTCAAAGTCTGGTTGTTTTGACGGAAAAAAGCACAACGACGACATTGTGTGTAAACTATTGAAACATAACTATAATTTGTCTAATCTATTCCACAATGATGAATCTTTTACTGACACTAAAACACTGATGTTTGAAGAATGCTATATTTTCATCGGAAAAATTATAGTCTCCATGGTAAGACCGATATGGTTAACATTAATCACAGCAAACATGTACTGTATTTATCTCGTAAATGTACTGCCAATGATATATTATCCAAAATTGTATTTTTGTACCATTTCGCAGTTTCCCGGGACGTTCTCTTCCCGAAATAGCTTTAATTCACGTGAGAGGATCGCAAAAACCCGAATATGCTCTGTTCATTGGCTGACCGTAACTGTCAGCAAGAAACGAAATGAAGTTTGGGTTGTCGCTCAACCTCGATGGTGACCTAAGTTAAGTGTTTACAAGTTGGTATTTATACGAACCTGCTCTGATTGCTTGTACAATAATTGGACAATCTAAACTCTGAAAGAGTATTATTTTATGATACTGCACGATTTTAATCTACAAGATAACCGATCGGGTCTGTAGAAATGACATGCATTTCTTTTAATCTTATCCGTTTATATGAAACATAAATTATTATCATTGTGATCCTTAGTCTTCTTTTGAAATAAATGGCCTGCATTCAAAGATGAGTTATGCAGGGCTCATAGAAGATGCGAAACTCTCACCTGAACATGGAAGCGAGTGATTCTAGATTCATACTAGCTTGCAAAAATATATTTCCTAATGGAGCCTTCCACAACCGCCGAAGTTCACGGAAGCTTTTGCATGGAAGGATGATCCACTCAGAAAGCAGGTAAAGGACAGAAAACGTCTTCTCGTTACGTCTTAGCTGCCGTCGTCTTGGGGGGGATTCAATTACTGTCTAGGAAATAACACATGACCAGAATCACCCAAACAAAGGTAGTCTGCCATTGAGTAGGTATAGGCTCCCTCACGGAAATCCTAGAAGGATAGCTCATCAGAGGGCAAGGACCCGGGAGCGCTCCCGCTTCTTTTCACAACGGGTTTGACGTCCCTGGAATTCCTTACCGGCAGGTGTGGCTATGGCGTCGTCTTTGGATGCCTTTGAGTGAAGGCTGGATAAGCATGCAGCGACACAAGGACTGCATCCGAATGGTTAATCCCCTTAAAATCGCATACAACATTCAGGGGTGGACAACTTGTAGTTTTACTTCTTTACATTCTCTTCCACCCTCTTCTCCTGACAGCTTTAACTACACCTATTATCGTTATTACCGATATATATAATCCATATTATTCTTCAAATTTAATCGGCTGACTGTTGTTACGTTTTCTCACTTTTTTTTATATCTCTTAGTCTGAATAACTTCACTAATTATATCTATTATTATTTTATTTTTATTTTTGATTACAGCTTGATTCCACACCGTACTTTTGGTACAAGTGTGGAATTTTCAGCGTGGATATCTCTTTTCTCTTGTCGACGATACCGGAGAACTAACTGGCGAAAGGATCAACTTCATTCACAGTAGTAACAGTCTTAACACACCTCATACTACAAATCACATATAATTAATCCCAGCAAAACTCCCTTTGGAGTCAACCAAGCTACGACAGTCGAGTGGCGGGACGAGCTACGCACAAGTTTACTGAAGATCGGGAATCTATACCTTACAATCGAGAAGCGAGCACAAGGAAATCAAATTAGTTTATACTAGCCCGTAAAAACGATATTGGATATTGCAAGTATAACATTGGGTATAGAATTCACGGCGGGTAGTATGCAAAATAATCCAGCGTGACCTTGATGGTTACTTTGATTTGCTTTTTTTCATGTGTTTTTTGAGTGAATGTATATTCCATCCAGGGGTCGGCTTTTCTGAATGCTTGTCATAACCGACTGTGGGTCAGATGTTTCCATGTATACGACGTGTGTTTACTGGAAACAGTGGACAATAGAATGTTTTATACCGTTAGTTTTATAAACTACCAAACTTATTCCTAGCCTTATATAGTTTGCCAAGTAAATGCTACAAGCACTTTGGTCTTTGTGTATGACGTCGTAGATGAAGTGACATGTTTGTTATTATTCCAGGTTTGAGTGATAGGATCTTTCGAACTAAGACGGAAATACCTACAGATGTTTTAAAGAGATACGATAACATAATGGTTCATGATAAGTATGTTTTCTCATCTTTCTTCGGTGTAGTTGGCTTTCGAGTGTAGTAGCCTGAAAATTTTCGAACTTCCGATAAGACTGATTGATTTTTGTGGGTGGTTAAGATGCTGTGATACCGTATGAATTGTTCATTAGTGTCATTGTGGGCATAGTTATTCCTACACCCTAAATCCTCTACCTCACTTTACTTTTTAATGTGATAAAACTATGGGAACACCTGATGAGTTGGTAGTTAAACTATTAAACACTGCATAGTGTGCTTCTCATAAACATCCCTCGCTTTTTTGTTATCGGCAAGGAACTTATAAGATTTCCCATTCGGATGGGCTTTTGAGTGAAAATATTGTCTAAAATATGACGTCTCCTTGAAAAAAGCAATATTCAAATGTTGATTTTAGTTGCATCACGTGACATTCAATAATAGATTAAAGTTCTCTATAGGTCACTGGGCTATATTGAAAATCAGAGCTAATAAGTGTGGTATTTTAGTCGATTATATTCGTCATCTATTTACATTGTTCTCCAGTTTACTGCATTTTAGCATGATGAAGTGACTTTATTTTGTTCTGGAGGTCTAACGCATGTTTACTGTATTTGTCTCACCTTCCTTTGTAAAAACACTGGTTTTCGAGAATTTTGTGAAATGCTGATGGTATACAAAATATGCAGGTGGGTAGGTGGTTTCACATTCAGGATAAATAAGTCGAAGGAATTCACCCGTCAATAGTGCTGTTGGTGTTTTGTGTCTTGGTAAAGGAATATCTATCAGTGACATTAAATTGCTCTTACGGCAGTAAACGAAGTTAAAAATCTCTCTCTTGATACAATACTATAAGTGTCATTAAGGCTGCAACCAGGTTCGTTAAATCGTGTTATCTTAAGTTTAGTCACGTTTACAGTGACTATGGCCAATAGTGAAGGATCATGATGTCTTTCGATTCTTTGACCGTTTCCCAAACTGTGGCGACTAGTGTTCGAAACCCTTTGTATAGGAGTTGAGTGCTTACTAAGTATTTAGAGACCTAAGATTTTCACACCGTTTTAACCAGGTGTATATAAATTACTTGAGATGTTGTGTTTAGTTAAGTTTACTAGTAACATTGAATAGTTTAACCTACCATATTAACGTCGCCTATCTTTTTACAAGTGCTCTTTGCTTTTATCCGGATATTTTACAGAAAACAAAATCATAGCAACTTTTTTTAATTTTTTTATTTTCAGTTTTCATTCAAGGCATTAAACTGTTCGGATGGACAACTGTCATGTGACTTAGATTCTTCGAATATTTCAAGTCCTAATGTACATGAATACGCAAGTTCACCCTCAACAGGGAAAATCACTAAAGCATCACTTCCTGACAATACTGAGAAAGAAGGTTCTAAAAATGCAGATAGTGCATGTGTTTTTCAATCCACTAACTTGAGTCAACTTTCTCCTAATGTTACTAGTCTTTTAAAACCAACGAAAACACGGGAATCTGAGGAGGTAGTTAAACAATTTTATTTTTATATGTTGAAATACTTTTGGTAAATTTTTGTATACATTCGCTTCTATGTCTGTACTTTTTAGTTAAATGAACAGTTGCATGTTTTGTTTGAAATTTAAACGCTGAACAGCCTATACTCTTTCATCAAAGTTAACTAATAACAAAACTTTTCAATTCTTTTTTTACTCTACAGGTGAGGATTACCAAACTGTATCACATTGCTTTGCGTCTTTGTTCATCTGATTGTCATGGTGAAGATTTTAAGGCCAGACCAGTTTTAGAAAGTATTTTGAACAGCTTTATTATTGAAGGCGATGTGAGTTCTCATCTAAATTCAACCGTTTTTATTTTCTTTGCTTAACTTACTGGTACAATAATTGTTACTTTTACAAATTCTAAAATCACTTTGCATATAATCTTTATCTACATGGAGTGAATTTTTTGTTTTATTCAGATAATCGGTTTTATCATTTACGCAAATAACTAATAGTATTTGTAGGTGTTTTAATGAATTCACATAGATTAAGTGGGAGGCATTCATCAAAACTACTCAGCATCAGACAGTTGTTACACTTCTCAAATGAGTAAATTTCTGTTGGCCATTATTAGTCGATTGTAAGTATTCATACTTCCTCCAAAGCCTCAGGATGGTCGGGGGTGGGTGTCTTGCGCTGCGGGTTGGCCACCCCTCCGCACACCTCTTGAAATGCTCCCATATGACCGGGCGTCTTACATAGCCTCTCCTGAGGAAGTCCTACTCACTGCCTTCACGTGGCGGAGGTGTTTCTCACCAAAGTGAGAGGGCGAAAGCGGATGCCCGGCGCTCTCCACCGGGTTGACTGTCCATTGGATGACGGTCTAGGGGAGATGGCTAAACCCTGATTCCAAACCTCCAACGACTGGCGTATGAAGCTCACTGGAGCTCACCGGCAGACGTATGGACAAAGGGCTTGTTGGATGTCCTGGATGTCTGGCCCCATTCAAAAAGGCGTATGAACCGAACTCCGGTCACCGGCTGCCAATGGATAGTGGACTCCTTACTCCACTCCTACTGCCTTGTAGGTCACACTTGGCTGTGTGAAGGCTAGAGCTGCACTCTCAAACAAAAGGCCGAGCGATGCTGGGGACATCACTCGTACCAAATTCCCATGAAACTTCATGAACTCTCTTACAAATTACCGCGCCTGGGCAGCGATGATTCGAGACGTTCATGAAGCCGGCTCATCCTCCCGTAGGAGATAGTCGAAGTAAAGTAGTAAAGTATTCATACTTCATTAAGTCGGTGATCAAACCATATACTGATGTAGTAGTTCAAAGAAATTCACCATTATGTAAATGTTGGGCATTATTTTTTTTGCATTTTACCACCACACCTCAATGGAGTCAAAGTTGCCCCATCACTCTCTGGGGAATAAAAGAACTCAAAATATTGTAGTTACCTGGTGAAACTTAATGTTTTAACAAGTATTTGTCAGTAGTGCTCTAATTGACGTTTTACTAAGAAAATATGGACAATATAGAAATCCTTTGTATTTTCAAGTTTTGGATTTGTAGGTATTTTGTTTGGTTGCATGGAGGATTTCACCATGAGCTGACATCAGTTAGAGAACCACTGGAAAACCTGGGAGTGCCGGACAGCTGGTTTCGTCCTGGTTTGGGACTCTTCAGTAGTACGGATCCACCGGGGTTCGAACACAGGACCTTCTGGTTACAATGGCTCAATGGTCTATGGGCTCGCCTTATAGCCAGAAGATCCTGGGTTCGAACCCCGGTGATTGCGTACTACTGAAGAGTCCCAAACTAGGACGAAACAGCTGTCCAGTACTCCCAGGTTTTTTCAGTGGTTCTCTAACTGATGTCAGCTCATGATGAAATCCTCCATGCAATCAAATCCTTTGTAGTTAAACATGGAACAATTTGGCACATTTCCTTTGTTCATCGGTGTTATGTACTCGTTGCCAAATATTTGTTATGTACTGGTCGAGAATTTAATAGTCCTGACGCAAGAAGACAGAAATCAGAAGACCACTAGGTTTGCGATGATACTTCTATTTTCCAAACACAAGGAGAAGCAATAAGTGCTATCACACCAAAGTAAGTAAGTCACACAAATTGTGAGAGCGAAATATATATGAATGTTCAGACAAGTGTGTGAACAAATCAATAGACAGTCTTAACATGAATGGCTAATTATAATGGAGTGTCGATCCAAATATACATAGCAAAATATAGCAGACATGTCAACAAACACCATATATGGATATATGTCACCAAGCAACGGACTGTCAACAAACACTCATATTATATATAATATAAGGGGAATATACATTGATAAAGGAGACAGGTTCATCAAAGTGAAATGGTCACAGACTAAGCGAGCAAACAGAAAGAGAGATCACCATATATATATATATATATATATATATATATATATATATATATATATATATATATATATATATATGGATACATATCAATCGGAAACGAGAAGCATTTCGTTCAAAGTAATAAATTATTCAAAGACGAGTAAAGCTAATAAATAATATTTACATGATTATGGGATTTTGATTAATTTAATTTCACTTGTTGGATTTCGTCACGAACTAATATCGATTGGACAGATCATCGGAAACCAGGGATCACTAGACGACTGTTTAGCCCTATTTTGATGACTCTCCGGCGGTGTGCACCCATGACTCCGTCAGGAACTGAACCCATCTCATTGGTGACTACTGGATAGATGTCCTGAAGCTGTACGGAATAGTCGTATCCAGTGGCGTTCACCATGTCAGGGTGAAGTAGTTGTCCTTCAAAGACATTGATTAGGATAGCTCTATGTGACGAGTTGATAAAATTAGTATTCATGAGTCACTGAATTCCTGGTCAAATGGCTGAATAGTAGACGACCTTTGTCTCGAATTCGATTCCTGATGGAGTCGTGGGCGCACACTTATGAAGAGTTCCAAGACGGGAGGAAACAGCGGTCCAGTGCTTCCTGGTTTTTAATGCTCTGTCTAGCTGGTGTTGGTTCATGACAAAATCTAATAAATTTGTCAGACGATGATGGCTTTCAGGTTGTGTACTTCTGAAGACTTTGTGTATTTGATTCTTCTAGTTCCCATACGTTCCCGTACATGACAGTGAAAAGGGTTAATTATTTTATTGACTCGGAACATCAACAATAGAAAAAAAACATCAGTGTTGGATATGATAGCGGTAATTAGTGATGAATTTACTAACTGCGTAGAAACGAAAGTGAAATCTGATTAAGGCGGTGTTATTAGGTATCCAATATTCATGCAGAACACAAAATGCCAGTGTACGCCACTACAACTGTTTAAAACCCGTGTACATTTAAGTGTCCAGATTGATGGATTGTATCGTCAGAGTCCATATGCACGGCCTACAGTTGCCTGCAAAATAAATGTCAGTTATCGAAGACCTCATGGATTCATGTTGTATTTTCATCTAATTGATATGATATGAAGCAAGTGTTATCTTTCTACTTTTATAGGTTCTATTAAACTGAGGTAAATATAATAATAGGTGCGTGTATGCAGCATGCATATGTTGTCAGGTATCTCAGTTGATGTGACTTCAAAACTTCGTGTAACTCTTAATATATGTGTAAAATGGGGGCACTGTGTTAGTAACTAATTCCATATTGGTTTGTTTATTTAGATGTTTCACACAGTGATGAAACAGTAGTACTTACTGGATGACGTTTCGAATACAATTTATTGTTCATAATCATATCGTTAATTATAATCACACGACTTCGAAACTCCAGTTTCTAAGTTTTCTTTGTCTTCTCCTATTTGTCGTCGTAGGGGTAGTAGAATTTTCCGGGTGTCCAGCTGGACAGATGTTGAATCATTCCTATTACACGTATTTGCAGCTGATTCGACAAACAAAGTTTCTGTTATCAGTCTCTCCCTCCACTCTGCTGTTACATTAGATTTTAAAACTGTCATCCTATCCCATCCTATTGTATGGTCGTGTGTGATTGCATGTGGTGAGTGAGGTAGCTGACCCGGCCAATAACTGCTACCTTGTCGTGGTGGTCGGGCTTGAATACCGTAATGACCCATCATGCTGAACTGACTGGGACTCATGTCCCTGCAGGTCCTACCATGTCAGGAAGGTTGTTTGGATAGCGGTTAAACTAAAAGCAGTTACCATGGGGTACATGGGCTCCAGAATCCAATCGGACCAGATGGCGTATGAACCCGTATGGGTAACCGGAAACCATCGGAATGCAGCTCCTGACGCTGCTCCGATGCTTTGCGGATTAGACTCCAAGTCAAAGGCTCAGGGGGTGGTTCCTTAATAAAACCACCTGCTTCGGTCTGGGCGCCCGGGCAGTATCTCAGTCCTCACACCATGAATTGAATAAAGCAACAAACAATCAATGAAACTTATCGCATGCCATTACACGTGTTGCAATTTCCTTCTTTCTTTCCTTCCCGATGATAGTTAACGAATACTGTTTGAACTTGTTAAGCATGACTGTTTTCCTTCCAGATGAAGTTCTTTATCCGTTCTCTACTTACATATATATATTTTTTCTCTTCTTTCTTTTTCTTCTTTTGATCTATGTTTTTTATTATTATTGTGTGGCGCATCCTTCTTGGTGCCATATTGTACCAAGTTTTTATGCGTTTAAATAAATAAATAAAGATGTAGCTGAACTGTTCCCTAGATTTCCTATCTTATTCAGGTCAACCAAGGTCAAAATAGGAGAACAGGGGTAGTCAGACTAGCCGAACCTAAAAACCTATAAAAATTTAGATTAATTGACCCGAATAAGATCAGAAATATATAGGATAGTTCAGCTATGGCACTCATAATATGCAATTACACACAACCATACAATAGGATGGGATAGGATGACAGTTTTAAAATCTAATGTAACAGCAGAGTGGAGGGAGAGACTGATAACAGAAACTTTGTTTGTCGAATCAGCTGCAAATACGTGTAATAGGAATGATTCAACATCTGTCCAGCTGGACACCCGGAAAATTCTACTACCCCTACGACGACAAATAGGAGAAGACAAAGAAAACTTAGAAACTGGAGTTTCGAAGTCGTGTGATTATAATTAACGATATGATTATGAACAATAAATTGTATTCGAAACGTCATCCAGTAAATACTACTGTTTCATCACTGTGTGAAACATCTAAATAAACAAACTAATATGGAATTCATGTAACTCTTTTCTTAAACAGAAAATTTCACAATATTGATAGTTATAGAAAACTAGACAGAGTATTCGTGCGTCAGTGGTACAGCTGTTAGAACGTTCGCCGACCATGCACATGGTCCGGGGTTCGATCCCCGGCCAACGACACACTCCTTTACCTCACTAAACCAGAAATAATGGTGGTAAAGAGGAAAGGTTGGGCATGAGGCTGGCAGCCCCATCCTGTAAAAATAAACACTGCTACAGAAACTTCAAGCCACTAAGTTGAAGCGCCCTATGTTCCACTGGGAACGTGAAGGAAACAAAAAACAAGACAGAGTATTCAGAACTGTGTAAGTCAGTCTGACGCCTACCTAAACTTCCTTCTTTTCTTTTCTACTGGCTCGTAAACTAAGCGAGCGAGGTTCTGTAGTGTCGATCGGGAATCAAACTCAAACATCTCTTGCATGGTAAGAATAAGAGTAGTCAACAAGTGAGAGGTATTCGCGCGCATAGAAAGTCTCCCTGGTACGAAACTTATTTCAGTCTAGTATTTGTTTTGCATGTTTAGATTGTTTTCCGCCTCTTTATATAAAATTAAGTCGTAATAACACTTTCTCTACACATTTACAGAAATTAACTCCACAATTGACACGTGTAAAGTTTGCCAGTTGTAAATTACTTGGAGGCATTTATTTCAAGTTGAATAGACATGCTGAAGGTATAGATCTACTTAGTAAGGTAGGTAATCTGTCATCACATTTATAATGGATATGTTTAAAATTATTATTATTTTTCTGTCTGCATTAATTTGAATTCTGTTTCTCTCCTGTTGTCATTATTACTATTGTTGTTGTTGTTCTTGTTGACAAAACGAATAATTTTACTTTTTAAGTATTTGGGTATGTGTTCTAAAGCCGGACTTTATAACTTGTGTGGATGACGGGATGACGTATGTGTGTGTGTGTTTGGTCAGTGTGCTATTTGATTATGGCACTCTACTCGAACTCAAGCAGCTAGGTGAGGGCTTACGGCAAGTTGTCATCTGAAGTGGTGACGACTAGTGGTGTCCGTCAGCCAGGGATGCCTATTATCCCCATTTCTATTCAATTTTATCATAGATGTACTGATGGACTTAACCCTAACTCACTTCAGCTACACAGGAATTGACTTGCTACCATAAGGGAATAATCTCGTTGACTTAGAATTTGCAGACGTTACTGTCCTTCTAGGCGAGGTCTCTGACAAAATATAGCAGAGTCTTCTGAACACTTTGACCTGCAATCTACGAATGTTTGGCATGCGATTCGCTCCCGCTAAATGTAGGATGATCAGGCTACAGGACTGGACTACACTGACTCCTAGTTTAGAGATAGGGAATGAAGTGGTAGAGCACGTTGACTGCTTGACTTATTTGGGAAGTACCATCAACCAGTCCCAACGGGTTGATCTCTGACGAAATCTCCGTACGGATACGGAGAGTTAGTTTCGTGTATGCCAGTTTACGCTGTCTCTGGATTAGTAGACGTGATATCCGGCTGGCTATCGACCAAAGGGCGGGTGTACTGCTCAGGAGTCTGTTCCGTCCTCCTTGATCACTGTGAGTGAGACCTAGCCGCTGAGAGTGGAAGACATGAAAAGACCGGCTAGCTGTCTTTGATCATAGGTGTCTGCGCTCTATCTCCCGTGTGTGTTAGGTGGTATAATAGGATGAGCAATATTGAGGTTAGGCGTCGGTCGAGTGCTAGGTAAACAGGGGAAATCAATCGACGAAGTCGTAAAGTTACAAAGACTGAGATGGTTAGGAAATGTGTTACGTATGCCTAGTCATCGCCTTCCTCAACAGACGTGCAATGTTTGCTGACATAGGGTCAGGCTTGGAAACATCTGTCGGCTGTCAAACCAAAACATGGCACCAGTCAATGAAATCCACAAGAGTTAGTTTAAGCCAGTCACGTAGGAAGGTGTAGACTTCCTGACTAGTTGGGGTCCTCGGGAGGGGAAAAACCAATGAAGGCTGGATACAATTGGTGATATGACTCAAAATCGTTCTCAATGGCTGAGGCAGATGTATCCACTCCTTGTAACTTATGATTTCCAATGGAAATATATTGTTCTTCGTTATTTACACATTGGGTCATAGGAGTACTGAGAAGACAATTGCAGCGAAGAAAATTTTCTTTTCGACGAAGTCATCATCTAGGCTGTACATTCGTGTATTTATATCAAATGGATGGGAAAGTTCCAGAATAATTTCCGGTTAAGGGTCAAATTAATAAAAATTAAAATTAGGAATTAGAATGCCATAATAAACAAGGGGATGGATAAAACAAACAAAGTGGCATCATAATAACTAAGAAGATTGACGTTGTGCAGTTGGGGGTTAGAAATGTAGAAATAACAAAATAGACAGGATGTTTGGATAAAAACTAGTGTCTCAGCTATGCCCAGATGTCTTGATTTCACTCCCTTTGATAGGTTCGGTTGAATCTTGTATATTACTTTGAAGGATTTTTGGAAAGGCGATGAATGTCTTGAATTGACCAGATGTTCTGTCATTGAACTGTATACACGCTTTTGGTCTCCTTTTACTAACCGGGCTGGGTAGTGTTCATGGGCGCGTTTTTCAAGTCGGCGCATGGTACGGCCAACGTACTCAGCTCCACAAGAGCAAGTAAACTGGTATATGCACGTTGAGGTGGCCCAATGCGACAGCTTGTCTTTCGCATTCTGGCTGAACAGTTTCTTGCTGGAAAACATCAGTCGTAGGCTCGCAGCGAAGTATGTTCTCCTCAGCGATTTGGAGAGGCGTTTGCGAAGGATTTCTGCTCCGATGTCACCTTTGAATTCTAGATTAAGCAGAAGTATTTTCTTTGGAACGGATTGGACTTGTTTGGAAATCTTCTTAGATTTGAGATTCCTGTCTATGAACATGGGCGGGAAACCGTTCTCCATCAGGGTTTTTCGAAGATTACGCAGTTCTTTTTCAATCACTTCCTCGCTGCATATCTTCCGAATCCTCGAGGAAAGAGCGTATATCAGGTTGCTCTTTCTTCTCAGGAGCACGAAGCTTTGGAAGTTGATGAATTGTCCATTCCATGTAGGCTTTTTGTATATGAACCTTTTCAGAGAGTTGTCGTCGTTTCTTGTCAGATGGACGTCGAGGAAGTGGAACATTCCGTCGGATTCGGTCTCAAGTGTAAAGTCGATGTTTGGGTGGGGATTATTGAAGATTTGAAGTAGGTTTTTTAAATCACAATTGTCATCACAAATAATGAAAGTATCATCGATGTATTTCTTGTAGAGATGGAGGTCGTTGATAAGGCGTTGTTCTCTAAGCTAACCATAAAGCAGTCGGCTAGGAGGGGTCCTAAGGGAGAACCCATTGCTACTCCATCTACTTGCCTGTGTATATTTCCTTGTTGAAACTAAAGTATACGTTGAAGGTGCATCGACGTAACAGTTCTTTCAGGTAATGGATCGGTATACCGACATTGATCCTATTGGATTGAATGTAGTCACAAAGGAAACGTACGGTTTCTGTCAGTGGAACGTTGGTGAAGAGAGACACGACATCCAGGGAGACCATTTTCTTTTCTGCCACATTGACATTCTTAATTGAGTCAACAAAGTCGAATGTTATGAAAGTCGTTATTGCTATTCCTTTGTCTCACACCTCTGTTTACTGTCTTTATTATTCATTTCTTCTACTTTCTTCTCTTTCTTTGTGTGCTACAAGGAGTAGAGTGTGGCAACTTGAACTTTCGCACATATGTGCAAAGTTCTATGTCGAAAACAGACAGTGTGATATTTATCTCTCCCCCTGTATCTCTCGCTCCCGTTACTTTACTGAAAATAAGTTCACGGCAGATCGAAAAGAAGAATAAAATCGTTTATACTTTTAATACTGTTTAGTGGTTTGTTCTCACCAGTCATATGCAAATATGGTAGACTCAGCGCTTGGATTTTTATTTGAGTAGGGTCTTGAGTATATTTGAGTGCCTTCACGGATACTGTCTTTCTTAGTAATGTACATATCATTACTTTATCTATGGATTGTGTATTCGTTTCATTCAAGTTCACATTAGCTATTCAAAGGTTGTATCCAAGTATCTTCTGTCTGGCCAAACAGAGTCTAGAGGGAATGCTAAGAAACAATGACTAGAGATTATTAGTGATATCACTCTAAATCGTTCTCAGTGGTGCAGATGCTTTCACTCTTTGTGATTCCCCATATCCACTAAACGCTTGTGTTACCATTCATTGTTGCGTAGATTTCTGTTCATAGTTCTTTTGAATCTCTTTTTCGCTGTCTCTTTTCTCTACCTTTTTGTCTGTCTGTCTGTATGTCTGTCTGTTTTCGACATAGAACTTTGCACATATGTGCGAAAGTTCAAGTCGCCACACTCCACTCCTTGTTGTAGCACACAAAGCAAGAGAAGAAAGTAGAAGAAATGCATACTAGAGACAGTAAACAGAGGTGTGAGGCAAAGGAATCGTAATAACGAAGAACGTTATAGTTTCATTGGAAATCATAAGTCACAAGGAGTGGATACATCTGCCTCAGCCATTGAGAACGATTTTGAGTCATATCATCAATTGTATCCAGCCTTCATTGGTTTTTCCCCTCCCGAGGACCCCAACTAGTCAGGAAGTCTACACCTTCCTACGTGACTGGCTTAAACTAACTCTTGTGGATTTCATTGACTGGTGCCATGTTTTGGTTTGACAGCCGACAGATGTTTCCAAGCCTGACCCTATGTCAGCAAACATTGCACGTCTGTTGAGGAAGGCGATGACTAGGCATACGTAACACATTTCCTAACCATCCTAGTCAATGTAATTCTACCTTTCTCTTCTACAAGGAGGCGGGCAATTTAAATTGGTGAAACTTATGTGCAAAGTTTAATGTTGAAACTCCGTCAGACAGTAAATCAAGTGTCTTCAGAAGTTTCCTGTTCATGGTGTTGTTGTAGTTGTTGTTATAAAGATGTAACCCGTGGGCTTAAACAGTCAACTTTAAGGCAGAGAGTCCTAAATTCAAATCCCACTTCACCTATTTCAACGTGGGCGTCTGGGGAGTATCAGCAGACCACACACACATTATGTGTGTGTGATGTATAGTATAGTGCATGATGAATTTATTCTGAGTTGTTGAGTTCTGAATATACTTCGCTTTTTGAAGAAAGGCATTCTCTTAGTTCACAATACCTTGGAGAATATTCGTGAAGTAGCTTGGCTAACAGGATGATCTTGTTAGATTGTAAGGGCCACGAAAAGCCTTGGTTTTGTAATCGTCTGTAATTAAAATCTGTAAAGTTGTAACTAACGTAAATCAACTAGGTACGAATATGACTAAATGAAACCACCTAAGTGATAATCATTTAACTCATGGAAAATTCCCGTTGTAACATATAGAAAATCAAAACAAGCGGGAATTCAGCGAAGAGACTCTTTTCAACGAATTTGTCATCAAGCTGTACAGTCCGGTGAGGGAATTGAATCATAGGTGTGAATGCATAAAATAATAATAACAATAACAGTATGAAATGCAATTAAAAACTAAAATGTTTGTGATTATAATCATAGTTAAATGTCAAGTGGCAAAGCAAATTAATGTCATATATAGAATAATTCATAGGATAGATAGAACTACAAAAAGGGCATGCAATTATAGGATTAGTAGACAAATCGAATAAAATAAAAACGTTTCGCAACACTGTGTGGAATTTAATAGCCTAGAATTTAACGTTGTAAAAAAGAATTGTTTTAGAATGACAAGTGGAACAAGTGAAATAATACCGGGGACAGTTCAAAGTGAGAATAGTAATAGTAGTAACAATTGGCGTAATAAGGAAGAGACTATAAATTGAATAGACAAAATGAAAAATTGGTGGAGCTAAAATATGATTGGGGATTACCACACTTTAGCATAGAGTGATTAAGACCATGAAAGTTGGAGTTGTCTAACGAACTTTTTCTGTACACAGAGATCTGGCTTTTCTGTTTCGGTAACCAAAACTTCAGCAATACAGATGAGTCGGGTAAGGTGGTGTTTTGGGTAAGTTACTCTTTGCCTTGTAGATGACTTTAAAGGCGGAGTCTGTAGATAGAGATAGGGTGATCATTATCGATCAGATGTTCAATGATCGCGCTTCTTATTGCTCCCCTTTCACCTCTTTTTAACCATGCAGGATAATGTTCTTGCACCCTCTTAAACAAAACTCGAGTCGAACGACCGATATACCTAGCTCCTTTTAGTTTTTAATTGCATTTCATACTACTATTATTATTATTGTTTTATGCATTCACACCTATGATTCAATTCCTTCACCGGATATAACTTCTTAAAAACCATATATATATATATACAACTGTACAGCTTGATGATAAATTCGTTGAAAAGAGTCTCTTCGCTGAATTCCCACTTGTTTTGATTTTCTTTAATCATTTAAATCACAGCAGTATCATTTTCCTTAGGGATTTTAAAGAACGATGTTTGGTTTTCGTCTTAACTTAATTTTAATGAGGTAATCATGATAAAATCTCTTCTTTGTTTGACTTTGAAGAAAAATGATTGAGTCCTTCAGGTGACTACTGAAATTAGGATGTAAACCGTTCACAGTAACACCTAACCTTGGCCGCTCCTAGCTAATTTTATGAATAAAGCTTCGCAACTATCTATTCGATACTGCTACATCAAGTCCCTCTTAATTTTTATCATTGTCTTATTACTTAAATACCACTTTGATGAACTGAAGTCGTCTTGGTGCACTAGTTATTTTATTCCCCCCCGCCCCCCCCCCCCCGAGTGGAGCATAAGGCTTTAGGCGTGAGTCTTTTACGGGGTGGTGTAGCTTTGATAGCCTCACGTCCAGCTTTCCTTCATCTCCAGGCCTACTGCCAAATAAGTGAGGTTAAGTAGAGTGCGTCGGTTGGGGTGGGGGGGATTGAACCTGTTGACGCCATGTAGTGCAGTTGGTGAGCATACTCTGCCAGTGAACCATCGATGTATTATATCGCCCGGGGCATTTCTAACCTTGATAATAACATTTTACGTTTTTCTTTCTTTAGGCTTTACAAATTGACTCGAATGATTTAAGCCTTTGGATACGCTTAGCTCGTGCTGGTATACGTTCGGGTTTTTTTGAAGTTGCTATCAATTCAATAGAACATATCTTGACGAAACGACCGTCGCATCCAGTTGCATTACATCTTGCTTTACCATTATATTTTGCAGTATCCGAATTAGAAAGTATGTTGTATATATGGTTAAAAACATTTTATGAACGTAATCTATATTGTTATTTTCAATGAAAAGAATCAAAGCAGGTATATCCAGCGTATTCAGCGCACACTTTCTTGTCGCGTTGTGGAGTATCTCAATGTCGTGTAACATGTGAGAGTACACAGACACCCAATTAAGTTTGAAGTCTAGTCATATGTCCAGTCATATTCTTTCTTCTGACCTATCCTTGTCTTCCTATGTCTTAGCGATTTCTAAAAGAATATTTCGTCTGACTTTTTACATTGAGAAGTTAAAGCGCTGAGATATAACTCAACCGCTCCTCCTCCTACACTTTGTCAACTCGTGCATCTTACCTATTATTCTTTACTGTTCACCATTGCTTATTCTCTCCTGGATTGCTTAAAAAGAAGACTGTGTCATACTTTGTAGAACTCTGAAGACTGACCGTCAGTAGGGCAAGTGGTATCCCATTGGGCCATATCGTCGACTTTGTCACTGGTAGACACTTGATGTCATGAAATAAATTTACTAAAAAGGATTTTGTCAGACTCTGAGCATCCACCACAGCACCTGCAGCTCTCACTCACCTTGTGTCTTCTCAGGTAAAACAAGAAGTCTTTTCATCAAAAGACATTTTATGCACGTACGTCTAAGTGTAAAAATTCCACCATACCATATTTGGCACATATCCAATGTGATGAAAACAGTGTCAGGGATGAAATAACTAACCTTCTTTGCACTAGTAAATAAACCATTTTCTCCATCCTTATTTCACCAAGCTTCATTTTTTTTTAGTGTCCTTCTTATATTTATAATCCTTTCAATTGTTTTTGGTTTATTTTCTTATAAGTGTAAGGATTATTTAAGCTGTGTAATAACTGTTGCTTTTTGTCTTTCCCCTCCCCCATACTATATCAGCAGGACATTAGATTCAATAATCTATAACACATGCTAAAATATCCAAACTGAATCCATAATACTGTTTGAAACAAACTCACTGTTATTATTATAATTATATTTATTATTCTCATTTTGTACATCAAAAATTTTCGACTTTATACCGTAAATGTGGACAAATTACTGTGGTGTTAATTTTATTTATATTTTGAGTAATTCTGATGCAAGGTGTTGTGACAAATGCTGAGAATTCCATTCTGTATTATAAATACTATTTTTGGAATAAAGTAGATTATTATTATTATTATTTTAGCTCAGGCAACTAACATTTGTGATAAGAAGTGGCCTCCTCCACATATCTGGGTAGAGCCGTTTCAACTTTAGGCAGCATTAATGAAGCAGTGAAAGCCAACTAGGATCTGAAAAGCGAAATAGATCTTCATTGCTGTGAAATCAATGTGGAAATCTAATGCACTCAGAATAACGAACAAGATTCGAATCTTCAACGCCAATGTCAAATCGGTCAATGTCCTGCTATATGCTTCAGAGAGACTTGGTGTGCGTGTCACGAAGTGTTTCGAAAAGGCTTCAGAATTGTATCCACAACTGCTTTTGTTGACTTCATACTGTAGATTGGATGGTCAGAAAAGATAAGTAGCAAGGATCGAATGAACCAACCAAGGATCTACAAACTGACGAATATGCTAAAGGAAATGCAAGTGGATCGGACACACGCTGAGAAGACCATTGAGAAGACCATTGCAGCAATAGTCAACAGAGGATTATGTTCATCACTGGTTAAAGCCTATTCTGCAGCTAAGTTGGTTTGCGTCTATCGGGCAATATGCTCTTTGGTGAAGTCAATAGGCGACAGATACCAATCTCGTGTTAACTCCAACTGTGTATACAAATTTACATATATCTGCGGGAGAAGTTACACTGGGAGAACAGAAAGAAGGGCACACCTCCGACATTTTGAACATGTACCGAAAAACCTTCGTCTCAAGGGAACAAATGCTTACACTAGTGTCATTGCCAGGCATCATCTCCTTGATATGGGTCTGGAGGTGGAAATGGCAAATTCCTTTAAAATTATCAATCGACAAAAAAAGCTCAATTCTCCTCAAGTTTGCCGAAGCAATCTCTATCAAGCTGCTGAAACCTGATTTACGCGTTTAGAAAGAAGCAGCTATCAGTCTTTCCTTGCTCAGCCTGTTAACTGGATGTCTTCATTCTCTCTCCCATTCGATTACATAATCTTTGGTTTTAACCTCACCCCACCCCCCGTTTGCTATAGTGTGACTTTGCTCGTCTCTTGTTTCTATGGTATGAGTTGGACTCTGTACATTGTGGCCCAATTCATTAGTTACTCGTCATCCTGCGTAATTCTTGTCTTTATTGAGTAACGTTTTTACCATTGTATGCATACATTTACTTTGTTTAAACTTGAAACGCTTGTATAAAAACTGTATAAGCGTAAATTTCTGAGCACTGTTCATCAATTCCGGAACCTCTTGTCAATTGACATCATGTAAAATTTGCAAATATATGTAAAAGCTTTTCTGTACATAAACTCAGTAATAATTTAGGCTGTAAGCATCTGAGGTGATGAGAAGCCAACGAAATAAACAATGATGGTACCATGTTATTCTGCACAAACCTCCACTGTTGTTCTTGCTTTATTCAAATAAATTTATGACGGGTGAAAATATCTCTTCTTAAAAAAGTGACTACAGTGTATACGAAGGTAATGTCTACTTACGGGTTGAAATGTGTTGGATAAGTCGAACTATTTTCAATGCTTTTCTTAAGATTTCTGTTACGTGTGCGTACTGCGCATTTATATCGCTATATCTTTTTTTATGACTGCGGAAGATAATAGCAAGGTTAGTTGGCTTTAACCACAGTTGTTTACATTTTATCTCCTTTATTAAGTGGTCCGATATGTTGAGCAATATTGCAGTTAGATGTAGAGTGTTAGGTGATGAGGGTAAGTCAATCGACTAAGATGGCTAGAACACGTGTTGTGCATAACGAGGCATTGTATTTCTCGGCAAGTAGTGTTAGCTGCTGACACAGGATTAGACTCAAGAAGAGTTAGGAATGGTCAGTCGAAAACCTGAAACCAAATCATGAAGTCTTTGACTGTTTGTTTGAGCGGCATAGTGAAGTGTAGACTGGTGTTGAATTCCTCGGGATGTTAAGAACCAATGGCTGAAGACTATTAGTGTAATGTGGCGCAAAATCGTTTTGAATAGCGCAGATGCATTCACTCTAACCCTAACATCTCCCATGTCCATTAGACTGTTATGTCCTGCCATGTTAATATTCTTTCTCCTAGCACATTTATGTTTATTATAGTTTGTTTGATTATCTTTTCCTACTGTTTTCTCCACCTTTGTGTGCTTCATGGAGTCTGGCAACTTGAACTGATGAGCTTCGTTGCCAGTTATGACTGATTTTGTCTTTTTTTTTGAAGAACAACCGGTTGTTTTCCGTAATTCTCATGTTTTTCTTCTCTCTCCACTTTTCTTTTTAGTTTGTTTGGAATTGTCAACGCGTATGCTCCAGATAGATCCATCTAGTGAATATGCTGTTTATTTCATCAATCGGATTCTTACAATTCAACCAAGTTTACATGAAATGGTTACAGATTTATTCTTACAAAGGTGGTAAAACGTTTCTTACTCCTTTTTGTTTTTAGTAATATGAATTGTTTGCATGGAGGATTTCACCATGAGCTGACATCAGTTAGAAAACCACTGGAAAACCAACTGGGAGTACTGAACAGCTGTTTCGTCCTAGTTTGGGACTCTTCACAGTAGGCACCCACCGGGGTTCGAGCCCAGGACCTTCTGGTTACAAGGCGAGCTCGTAGACCATTGGATCGGGTCCCAGTGGCTCAGTGGTCTACGAGCTCGCTAGCCTTGTAACCAGTAGGTCCTGGGTCCGAACCCCGGTGAGTGCGTAGTGCTGAAGAGTCCCAAACTAGGACGAAACAGCTGTCCAGTACTCCCAGTTGGTTTTCCAGTGGTTCTCTAACTGATGTCAGCTCATGGTGAAATCCTCCATGCAATCAACAAAATCCCTACAAATCCACTACTTGAAATTAATATGAATTGTCTTTACTCTTTTCCAGGCCAGATATATTGAATCAATTACCGGCAAGTAAAGAAGCTGAACAGGTAAGTGCAGATAAGTATAATCAAGTTTTCAATATAAATTTTGTCAAGAAGCGACATCAGTTAGAGAGGGAATCCCTAAAAACCTGAGGAACACTGGACAGCTAGCTGTATCTTGTCAAGTGTGCACTTATGACCGGGGATTTTGAGGTACTGGTCCAGCCTGTTGACAACTCAGACATCAGTGCGGAATATGAACCCTTAAGGTTTATTGCTAGGACTACTCGATGGATGTTCTGAAGTTTCAATGGAAAGTGATTGACGAGGTTCACCGTAGTTCTCGGTGGCTCCCTAACCGATGTCGATTCGTGATGAAATCTACACGGAAATCTGCATATATGATAAGATCCTTTTTGTTTTATTTTCTCATAATACTAATTTATGCGATTTTATTACTTTCCTTCTTTGTTTGACAGTTGAACTTAATCCTTGTCTAAATATAAGACTATTCAGATTTTGGTATAAAGAATAGTAATAATAATAATAGTAATCGTAGTAATAAGGGAAACGTACATAGAATAACTAAATAAACAAAAAAGATAAATGTCTATCCCTCTACGGCCAAGGCAGAAGTAGGGATTGTACATACTTCTTTTGTACACAAAGGTCTGGCTGGCTTAAAGTCATGAATTGCCAAGGCCTCAGCTGTCTTTAGAAGTCTGTGACGCAGAAAACGCGGGAAGTGCGTCGGTGGCACAGTGGTTAGGACTATCGCCGACCATGCACATGGTCCGAGGTTCGATCCCCTGCCGATGCACACCTGATATTCTATGGTTGGTCTGCAAAATATGCTGAAAATTCCATACTTGTACCAAAAATACAGTGTGGAATCAAGCTGTTAATAAGAAAAAATTAGCACGGATTCTATATATGATCTTGAAATCATGGTCAGGGTTGACAGAGTGACAGAAGTTGATCAGGTGTTCCAGAATAGAGCTTCAAACACACACTTCCTTTCCCCCTTGTAAAACCATGCTGGAATATTTTCTCGTATCCGTGTGGAAACATGTATAAACATGACGTGTTTTTCCTTAATAAAGGTCTGTTAGCGAAGGCTCTTATTTTCTGCCGTCACACTGTCAATCTTAATCGCATACTAAATTAGAAGGTGAGGAATACTGAATTCAAATTGTTACTGGAATTTCAAACGTTTCCACAGATTGATCATCCCTTAGAATCATCACTTGTCATATCTGGTCGAGGCATGCATACAGTTTTTACATGAATTTTGATAGATTGTTTTAATAAGCTCTATTGAAGAATATTTCAAATGTGAATGTATCTTTTAGTAAATTCTTCTCTACTAATACAAATAAACGCTCTTTATTATAAGTCTCACCTACTAGGCTATGAACCACACTTATATATAAAGGGCTTATTGGGCTATGGGGTTGCTTACATTGTGGAAATCAAACAAGATTTTGAACTACGGTTGTTTGTCTGAGCCATCTACTGTGGATGAGCTTAAGCAGTTAACTTCCGGCCGACAGCTTTTAGGTCCGAATCCCCCTTTGTCTACTCTGAACCCGGGCATCTTGATGGTAATGTGGGTAAAGAAGAATAATGCTCAGGAAGGCTTCTTGTGCTTTTGACTGCTCACACCGTGAAAGTTGATTGGTTCTTCGGGTACCTAAAACAGAAAGACGGTTAGTGTTGCGTGACCACAGAGCCCAGGGGACAACTGCTTCAGGCTGGCAGGTCAAACACGACCTGTATGATTGGTTCCATATGAGTAAACTTACCGCCGGTTGCGGACCACCGTAGGGTAAGTCGGGATATACAATTTTCGGGGTCTACCTTTTCTAACCCCCTGTCTTCGGAGTGGAGAGACAGCATAGCTGGCTGGAATGCTGATCATCTGAGGGAAACACCTCACTGCTGTTACACCCCTGTTCCACAGCAGTACGACTTCATCCTCAGACCCCCATCATAGTGTAAGAAAGATTCTTAAACTAGGCCGGTAACTGCTTTTAGTCCAATCGCTATCCTAACAACCTTCCTGGCATGGTAGGATCTGCGGCAACGATAGTTCCAGCCAGTGTAGCTTGTTGGGTCATTGGAATATGCCAGCCCGACCACCATGTCAAGGTAGCAGCTATCGGTCGTGGCAGGCATCATAGTCGTACCAGTGTGGTGTATGGTGGAGATCTAGACCATGAACTATTATTATTTACCGATGTTTGTTCACACTTATTGTTGGTTTTGTTCTATTTGGTTTTTTTCATATTTATTTTGTCTGCTTGCGCATATGTGTATATAGGTTGATCAAGAAATACAAAAGATTCGAACTATCTATCGTAAACAAAAGGATGCTGAAATGGAATCACAAGTTATCCCAGTGATTAAGTTTCCATCACCATTGAAACACTTAAGGTCAGTCTGCCAAAGAAAAAATATTTATTATTTCCATTAACTTGACCTCTCTTTGTAAGTTTCTCTCTATATTACCGGAATGGACTATAGTGTATACACATACTTGGTTACAGGATTTCATCATGAGCTGACACATTGGTTAGAGGACCACTAGAAAACCTGCCGTGGAACACTGGTTTGGGACTTTTCATCAGTACACACTCAACGAAGTTCGGACCCGGATATCCGTCTGTCTGTCTGTCTGTCTGTTTTCGACCCGGATATCAGTCCCGAATACCCTTATTAGAATAATTGCAATTAATACGTATAAATAAACTGATTAAACCACTGAAGTACATTGTGGGTGGATTTACTCTAACCGAGCAGACATTTCACACTACGTTTTCTTTTAGTCAGATAACTCCTATTCACTGTCTTCATGCGGCGAGTGTACCTAACTAAGTAACTAACGAGAAAGGGCGAATACGAATGTCGGACGCTTACAACCGGATTGGTGAAAATCTAGGTCTATCCTAGTCATGGGAGTTGGAAAACCCTGATTACAAACCTATGTGGTATACATTGGCTCCTGAAATCCAAAAGGATCCAATGATGTATGAACCCTGTTTGTGTCATTGAAAACCTTGGAGATGTAGCACCCAACGCTACTTCAATGCCCTATAAATCAGAATTCAAGTCACAAGGGTCTCAGGGTGACCCTTTAACATATAACTAACTACCTGCTCCGGTCTGGGCAAGTATCGCATTCCTCGCACAATCTATGCAATTTCGTTTGACTTATACCTTGGTGTCTATAATGTATAGAATTTTTGTTTTAATATATAAATGAATTATTAATGGTTTAGTTGTGAGTAGGAAATACTTCCTTTCGAGATAATTTTGATTTCACCTTTTGTTTTGTTTTAAAGCTATTTGATTTTGTTATTATTATGCTTAGTCGCATTTGTATTTGTTTCTGTTTTCTCCCTCTTAGCTGGTTACATCTAATTAAAGAGACAGTGACAATGTATGATCATTTACAAGCAGAATCTGTAAGCTTAATTTCTTTTTCAACTGTAGCGCTTTTTTTGAATTCTCTTTTTTGTCGTTAAATGATGAAGACTACTTATCATCAATCCGTAGTTATTCATTCTTTTTTGTTTTCCTAGTGAAATGAATGCCAGGCTTCAAACTAGAGAGCTTTTTGAAGTTTTAGTAGCAGTGACTTTGTGTTTTAAGAGACAGGGTAGGATTGCTTGCCTCAAGGTAAACTTTCTCCCTTTATGTGGCTTATTACTTCCCACCCTACCCCTCCGGCTAAATGAGGTCTCGGGAGTGCGTCGGTCGAGAATGGGATTCAAAACACTTGAGGCATGCTTGCCGCGAGCATTCTACCACTGAATCGCCAACGCACATCAGTTCGTAGTAGAATATTTTTATTCCACATTAGACCATCGGATGAAATCAACCGACAATTAGTTATACTGTTGACGAACACTGATGTTTATCTTGAAGAAATCATAGAAAATACGAACATCATCGGGTATCTCCAAATTAGTGTTCGAATTATTTCTTAAAGTTAAATAAAGGTTTAAAAAATGCATTGAAATGTTGTACCTTTTTACGCGATGTCTGGTTGCTCGACTACGAAACACTGGGCACCAGTTCGACAAACCCTGCCCTACCTACCTATCTACCGAGGTTCGGTCAATCCGATCGTCTCACCACAATTTATTCATGGCAGGGAAGATGCACGTTAGATCATAGGAATTGTTAAGAAGGCAGTTGCAGCGGAGAAAATGTTCTTTTAGACAATGTCATTAAGTAGTCTGTACATTCATGTATTTATGGTACATGAGTGGGAAAGTTCCAGAACTGTTTTCGGACAAAGTTCAAATGAATAAAATTACAAAGTGTTGATAAACAGGAAGATAGGATAGAAAAGACATAGTAGGATCATAATCATTGAGATACGTAACTGTTTGTGCAATTAGGAATTAAGAATGTAGTAACGACAAAATAGACAGGAAGTTCGGATAAAATACAACATAGTAATGAAACGTAAAAATAAACCGGAAGACTGGATAAGAAAGGTAATAGGATAATCACTATTGAAAGAACTGATTATTTTTTTTTTAAGGTGGCCACGATAGGGACGATATTTGGACGTATTTCTTTTAAATACACAGAGTGGACTTGGACTTTTGGGTCGCTAGTGCTTAGACTGTTCCCAGATGCGTTGATTTCACTCCCTTAGGATAGGTTTAATTGAATCCTGTAAATGACTTTGAAGAACTTTTCATCTGAAGGAGCTGAATGTTTTGATGAGTTAATCAGATGTTCTTTTGGTGAACTTTATACAGGCTTGTTTCCTCCCTTTGTTAGCTAGGTAGGCTGGATAGTGTTCCTGAACTCTTTTTACAAGCTGACGTATGGTACGGTTAAAGTATTGAGCTCCACAGGAAGCAGCCAGTAAATTGGTATCTGCATGTTGAAGAAGGGGTCTAACGTAGGTGACAGGTTGTGTTCAGTATGCTGGTTGATTAGTTTCCTGCTGGAAAATGTTACTTTCTTACTCACTTAACGTGAATACGCGAATGTACAGCCTAGTTGATGACTTCGTCAAAAAGACAATTTTCTTCGCTACAATCCGTTGTCTCAAGCTGTCAACTATTGCCAATGATTTCCCTTATTGAGGTAGATTGGATAATGTGACAGACAGCAAGCGACGAGGAAACAAGCGTAAAATGAACCCACACAAAAAACTTGGGGGATATGGACTTCGTCGATGATGATATATGTCTGATTTCCCACAAACTGGAAGATATGTAAGTGAAAGGCAACAAGCTGCCAGAAGAAGCATCAAAGATAGGGCTTGAGGTAGAACATAGAGAAAACAGAGGTGATGAAGATTCCTGGCCAATACTGACAGCAACAATCAGCCAGCATAAATGGGAGGAACCTGAAAGAAACAACTTCCTTTACCTACCGACCTACGTGGGAAGCATCGTTTCAACCACAGGCGAAACTCACGAGGATATCAAAGCAAAGATTGGGAAAGCAAGACAAGCTTTCATTACTCTTAAGTCTGTGTGGAGGTCAACAGCACTCAGCATAAAAAAAAAGATCCGAATTTTCAACTCCAATGTGAGGTCAGTGCTACTATGCGGATCAGAGACTTGTACTGCGCGTCATAAAGAGCATCTCAAACAAACTTCAGACCTTCATTAACAGTTGTCTTCGCTCAATACTCAAGATCAGATGACCGGCGAGAAAAGATCAGCAACAGGGATCTCTGGCAATGAGCGAACCAACCAGGAACCGATTGTGAAACAAATAGGCAGGAAGAAATGGAGATGGATTGGCCATACTCTGAGGAAACTATTAAGTAAGTGACATCACTAGACAAGCCATCGCTCGAGTGGAACCCGGAAGGGAAGCGGTGAGTTGGTCGTCAGTGAGAGGGTGACTTGGTGGAGGTCATGTAAAGAGGAGATGAAAGCATGTGGGGGCAGACGTGGAGCCAGTTGAAAACTTAAGCAGAAAACCGAATGCAATGAAGACGTGCAGCTGAAGCCCTATGTTCCTCTAGGAATTTAAGGAAACAATAATAATAATAATGAATAATACAATCGTTGTCTTAATATTCATGGAAAATTTGTCCGTAGCGGACTAGTCTAAGTTCACCTTATGAATCATTCTTCAATGTGTACAGGTGCTATAACGTCTTCAAGGGTATAAATAACAATAAAAAAGGATGTAATCCGTTAAATATAATATTTAGAAATATAACGAATATTGAATTTAAAAATCATCTTTTTATAGTCGCTTTCATGATTTATAATCTCTTCTTGTTCTAATACTGTCTCTTTTCTAGACGATTCATTTAGTCCTTGACCTATCGTCTTTATGGTCTGAAGATCTGCTCAGAGAGATAAAAGAATCATCAACAAGTAATGCAGATGTGCATTCCAATTTGAAAACAGTTGAACAGTCGGGAAGTGATAATAATAATAATACTACGACTGGTCACATGGAAGATCCTCATACCACGAAAGTTCCATCAAGTACAGATACAACGTCTGAATTAGTTAATAAAGATGATGTAAATGAACTTAATATGGAAGCGGGAACCGATGACTTGGCTACTGGAATAGAGAAACGTCGTTCTGCACGGGTAAATAAGTGTCTATACAATCTCTGCACGTTATTTTTACATGTATATATATGTCGTTTAATGAAATAATCTGTGGAATGTTCAAGTATTGATTTTGTAGGGAGCTGGCTACCAGAAAGTCGTGAGTTTGAACCCTGCTGGTGAGTTCGCACTGCTGGAGAGTCTAAAACCAAGCTGGTCCAGTGTACTCCTGGTTGATTTTCGAATGGTGATGTCATAAGTGATGTCAGCTCATGATGAAATCCACCAACCAAATCTACGGAATGGTTTATTTTTCAAATTTAAAACAAATTGGAGTTGATTTGTTTGTTTGTTTGTTGGATAATTACTTATCTGTTTGAATTGACCGCTTAGAAATGTGCACAAAATTTGCACAAAATTAGTAGACCCTTCTTCGGTTTCACAAGATTTTTTTATGACAATCAAATTGTCTCCAGAGTGTAGCGTTATTAAAACTATGTGTCGTAATAGAAATCCTGAAAATTGACTTTGTGATCAATCTTAAACAATTCCACATTAGTTTCAGGATTTCATCATGAGCTGACATTAGTTAGAGAACCATTGGAAAACCTGCCGGGGAGTACTGGACAGCTGTTTCCTCCGTCCTACTGTGAGACTCTTCATCAGTACGCACCCACCACCACGGTTTGAACCCGGGACCTTCTGGTTACAAGGCGAGCTCGTATACCATTAAGCCACCGGGACCCGATCCAATGGCCCATGATTTCTAACTTCTGCCAGTTCACGACATAGCGCGACCCCTAGCCAATGTCTTCGGTGAGTATTTCTCGTCACACCCGACCAGCTGCACCTTACTGGTCACGACTTCTCACTAGAACCCCAGATAACTACCTACCTGAATAGGGCAAGTCGCTAGTGAGCATCTCATTGATATTCAAGTGTTGGTTCGTAGGGATTTGATTGGTTTGTTTATTAGATGTATCACACAGTGAAGAAACAGTATTATTATTTATTGGATGACATCGTTTCGAACAAAATTTATTGTTCATAATCATATCAGCAATTGTAATCACACGACTTTGAAACTTGAGTTTTATAGTTTTATTAGTTCTCTCCTATATGTCGTCGTTGGGGTTTTAAATAATTCGTATTAGACGTATTCTCTTCAGTTGGTTCGATAAACAAAGCTTCTGTTATCAATCTCTCCCTCCACCCTGCTGTTGCATTAGATTTTAAAACTGTCATCCTATCCCATCATCCTATTGTATGGTTGTGTGTAATTGCATGTGGTGAGTGCTATGGCTGAACTATTCTCCAGATTTCTTGTCTTATTTGGGTCAACTAATCTAGATTTTACTAGGACAAAGTGGAGAACAGAGTGAAGTAGTAGTGTCCGGTTGGAAACCTTGTGTTCTACTCGGAACCCAAAAGAATTGTGGTACTACTTACTTTACTTTACTTCGGCTATCTCCTACGGGAGGATGAGCCGGCTTCATGAACCATGAAGTTTCATGGGAATTGGGTACGAGTGATGTCCCCAGCATCGCTCGGCCTTTTGTTTGAGAGTGCAGCTCTAGCCTTTACACAACCAAGTGTGACCTACAAGGCAGTAGGAGTGGAGTAGGGAGTTCACTGTCCATTGGCAGCCGGTGACCGGAGTCCGGTTCATTCGCCTTTTTGAATGGGGCCAGTCATCCAGGGCATCCAATAAGCCCTTTGTCCATACGTCTGCCGGTGAGCTTCATACGCCAGTCGTTGGAGGTTTGGAATCAGGGTTTAGCCATCTCCCCTAGACTGTCATCCAATGGACAGTCAACCCGGTGAAGAGCGCCGGGCATCCGCCTTTGCCCTCTCACTTTGGTGAAAAACACCTCCGCCACGTGAAGGCAGTGAGTAGGACTTCCTCAGGAGAGGCTATGTAAGACGCCCGGTCATATGGGAGCATTTCTAGAGGTGTACGGAGGGGTGGCCAACCCGCAGCGCAAGACACCCACCCCCGACCATCCTGAGGCTTTGGAGGTAATTGTGGTAATCATAATTAATTCATTCAGTCACTTGTACTACATAAAATAGTAGTCGCTGTATTTCAATTTAGTATTCTAACCACACATTACACTTTTCCTTATCGTCGCATCGGTTCATAACAAGACAATGTCGTGAAGCTTTGATTTTGATTACACATATGTCTTTTTCTTCAGAATGTTCATAATTCCTTGTCGTTACCATTGTTTCATTCATTTTTTTTTCTAAAGGTTAGAACATGTTTTGACTTGAGTGATGGCTTAAATCGTTATTGTTCAAGACGATCTGTAACCATGGAATTAGATAAAGTTGTCTATGAAAAGTGTAAAGCATCTACTGGCGAAAAGTTCACAAACAGTTCACAAAAAGACGGTAACAATCCAAATGATCGTTTCAAGTTAGCTGATCAATTTCAAACTCTTTTGCCTCAAATATTCAGGTAATCAGAATTGAAGAATGAGATGGATTGTATTGATTGATACTTTGATTACATTCTGATTACTTCGTCAGTATTCACTGTCAGAGTACTAGAATGATTGATTTTGAGAGAAAAAAATTGGGTCTGAGTTGTGCGGTGATTTGAGTTGGCGTGGTAATGTTGTAACGGTAGAAGACAAGAGACTTCGTGATGGAGTGTTTATTTTGAATTTTATATCTCTATGTACGGGGAATTATGTACACCTTATCTTCAAGTCATTTTCTGCACAGATCTTCTGTGGTGTTGTGCTATTTCTGCCCTTCCTGCGTATTGTGTTTCTTTGTCTTCTTTTCATGTCTCCCATGTTGTCAAGGAACTTAACCCTAAGTTTCTATTATTTGCGAAGACGCTCCGAACCGATAATTACTATGCATGGAGGATTTCATCATGACCTGACATCAGTTAGAGAACCACTGGAAAACCTGGGAATACTGGACAACTGTTTCGCCAGCCTAGTTTGGGACTCTTCAGCAGCACGCACCCACCACCAAGGTTCGAACCCAGGACCTTCTAGTTACAAGGCGAGCTAGCTCGTAGACCTTTCAGCCACTCTGACAAAAAGCCCAAAGGTGAGTAAAAACCACTGGATCTCCACCGCCTCATCCGAACTGATAGTTGCTAGAAGACTTATTCCGGCGAGCTCCGAATTCAATGAGGAGCGAAGGCTGCACAAAAAGAAACTTACGAAAAGTCTCCGCAAGGGCCGTGAACAGTGGTGGGTGACAAAGGCGAAAGAGATGGAAAAAGCTTCGACGATAGGCAACTATTTAGACTCATCAGGGAAACGGGTGGGAGAAGACAAATCATTAGTGAAACAATCTCGGAAAAAAATGGCACTATAATTAGCTCACAGGATAAACAACTGGATCGCTGGAAAGAGCACTGTGAGGAGCAATTTAATTGGCCCACAGCCACACTCAACCTTCCGAGCATCCAACACCTCCCTGAATGGGATATAAATACAGGTCTTCCATCCCTAACTGAGGTTACTAAAGCTGTCACCAATCTGAAACTAGGCAAAGCAGCAGGACCTGATGGAATGACTCCAGAGGTATTTAAGTACGGTGGAGACAGCTTACTGTCTGGATTAACTGAGGTACTAGGCAGTGTCTGGAAATCAGAAGAAGTCCCATCGGGTTGGTGTAAGTCACTGATTATCCCCATATACAAGAAGGGAGACAAGTCTTCCTGTGATAATCACAGAGGGATTAGCTTGACTAATATAGTATCTAAAGTCCTAGGCTCAATAATAACGTGTAGACTAAGTGGTGCTCAGGAAGGCACAAACACGAGAAAGCCAGGCAGGCTTTAGACCAGGAAGAGGGTATATCGATCATATCTTCACCCTCCGACAGATTCTAGAAAATAGGCATTCTTACCAGCGTCCAACAGTCATTATATTTCTTGACCTAAAGGCGAAATTCGGTTCTGTTGACCGAGAGGCACTCTGGCGATACTTGGCTGTAAAAAGAATGCGAGGGCTTACGGCGAGTTGTCATCTGAAGTGGTGACGACTAGTGGTGTCCGTCAGCGAGGGATGCCTATTATCCCCATTTCTATTCAATTTCATCATAGATGTACTGATGGACTTCAACCTAACTCACTTCAGAGACTCAGGGATTGACTTGCTACCATAAGGGAATAATCTTGTTGACTTAGAATATAAAGACCATATAGTCCTTCTAGGCGAGGACGCTGACAAAATAGAGCAGAGTCTTCTGAACACCTTGAGCCGCAATCTACGAATGTTTGGCATGCGATTCGCTCCCGCTAAATGTAGGATGATCAGGCTACAGGACTGGACTACACTGACTCCTAGTTTAGAGATAGGGAATGAAGTGGTAGAGCATGTTGACTGCTTCACTTATTTTGGAAGTACCATAAACCAGTCCCAACGGGTTGATCGCTGACGAAATCTCAGTATGGATACAGAGGGCTAGTTTCGCATATGCCAGTTTAAGCTGTCTCTGGATTAGTAGACGTGATATCCGGCTGGCTACCATCCAAAGGGCGAGTCTACTGCTCATCAGTCCGCTCCGTCTTCCTTTCTCACTGTGGGTGAGACCTGGCCATTGAGAATAGAAGACATGAAAAGATTAGCTGTCTTCGATCATAGTTGCCTGCGCTCTATCTCCCGTGTGAAGTGGTATAATAAGGTGATCAATATTGAGGTTAGGCGTCGGTCGAGTGCTAGGTAAGGAGGGGAAATCAATCGACGAAGTTGGGAAGTTACAAAGACTGAGATGGTTAGGACATGTGTTACGTATGCCAAGCCATCGCCTCCCTCGACGATCAATGTTAGCGGATATAGGGTCAGGCTGGAAAAAAGCTAGCGGCGGTCAAACAAGAACTTGGCATCAGTCAATGAAATCCACAACAGTTGGTCTTAGCCAGCCACGTAGGAAGGTGTAGACTTCCTGACTGGTTGGCTCCTCGGGACGGTAAAAATCTATGGTTGGAAACAATTGGTGACATGGCTCAAACACATCGTTCTCAGTGGCGCAGATGCATCCACTCCCTGTGACTTATGATCTCCAATGAAACTGTTTTGTTCTTCGTTAGTACTCTTCCTCTGTCTTACACCTCTGTTTACTGTCTCTGTTATGCATTTCTTCTACTTTCTTCTCGTGGTTTGTGTGCTACGAGGTGGGAGAGTGGCGACTTGAACTGCCGCACATCGGTGCAAAGTGATATGTCAATAGCAGACAGAGACAGCCACTGGGACCAGATCCAAGATGAGGCAGTAAATCATCGAAGAAGACATTACGAAATGGTAGCACTATGTCGCGAATTTGCAAAAGTTAGAATTCAATGACTATTGGATCGGGTCCCAGTCGCTCAATGGTCTACGAGCTCGCTAACCTTGTAACCAGAAGGTCTTGGGTGCGAACCGTGCCTACCGTCGATTTCCCAGCATCCCCATTGGAACTGATGGCATTCCTATTGCAACTTGACCCTGACACTGTTTATTAACACTAGTAACTATTGTGATGTGTCTAGTCCTTTCTTCTTTAGTGCAGAATGAATTCTATCAGTCAGGTTTTGCAATGTGGCCACCATGCCACTACGTAGCTCGTCGTCACGGTGCACATTGATTTGATGATATTAGATAGTTGGAGGCAATCGGGCGGAGGAAGCTTTGCCTAGACCTAGGTTTCATGTTAGTTGGCACTCACCAGGAAGTCAACAAGGAGCATCTGCAACCAGCTTAAAGGAACTCATGTCCCTTCTGAGATTCGAACCCGCGCCACCCAGTGCAGTGCTGCAGTCAGAGACGTTACCACTCGCTCGCGATTGACCTCCTGTAGGACTGTAGTGGACTGTTTATCAACGAATTTTATTAAATCACGAATTATCTTCCCTCATTCATCTTTTTATATTGTAATCAATTTCATCACTTGTTGTGTTGTAGAGATCTGGCTGCTTACAACAGAAAACAGAAGATTTCACAAGAAGTTCAGTTATCTACGGAAAATTCAATGAATGACAATAATTCAACTACTAATGAAGTTGTGTCCGTTAACTCTGAACAAGGTTAGATTATTCACTGTTGTTTATCACTTAAAATAAGAGTTTATTAAAAATCCTGACCGATAGCTGCTACCTTGACATGGTGGTCGGGCTGGCATATTCCAATGACCCAACAAGCTACACTGGCTGGGACTATCGTTGCCGCAGATCCTACCATGCCAGGAAGGTTGTTAGGATAGCGATTGGACTAAAAGCAGTTACCGGCCTAGTTTAAGAATCTTTCTCACACTATGCTGGGGGGCTGAGGACGAAGTCGTACTTCTGGCGAACAGAGGTGTAATAGCAGTGAGGTGTTTCCTTCAGATGATCAGCATGCCAGCCAGCTATGCTGTCTCTCCACTCCGAAGACAGGGGGTTAGAAAAGGTAGACCCCGAAAATTGTATATTCCGACTTACCCTACGGTGGTCCGTAACCGGTGATAATTCACTAATACGGAACCAATTCCAGAAACCAGTTCATACAGGCCTCCAGTAGTTGTCCCCTGGGCTCTGTGGTCACGCAACACTAACCGTCTTTCTGTTTTAGGTACCCGAAGAACCAATCAACTTCCACGGTGTGGGTATTCGGGAAGTAACAACCGCCACACACTTCCAAAAGCACAAGAAGCCTTCCTGAGCATCGTTCTCCTTTATTAAAATGCTTAATTCATATTATATGGAAAAAGCTATTTTCATGTGTTGGCTTTCAGTAATTTGATCTGATTGATTTCACGTTTGATCACGAACTGATTTCAGCTAGAGAACCATTGAAAATCAGCGGTGAATACGCGACAGCTGTTTCATCCTTGTTTTGGACTCTTCAGCCATAGGCACCAATTACCGCACTAGGAGTCGAACTCAGGACCTTCAGGTGGTAAAACGGCGAGCTCGTGTATACCTCTGAATCACTAGGACAGTATCCAACGCCCCGTCAATTCTAACTAACTACCAATTAGTGATATATAGCGCACACCCAACCCAATGCTGCATCGTCTCCATGGGGCTGTCTGCATTAGGTAGTGACATCCAGTTGTCAGTTGACGACTCACAAGTTCGAGCCTTGCTCTCCAAATTTTCAAGCCGGTTAAGACAGCTGTGTCTCATAGCCATCATACCACAAATATGACCCACTGTTTCGTATGCAACTCAGAATTTGCCTTTTTTCTTTTAAGGCTTAGGTCTTAATCAATCATAGGTGAAAGTAATTCCAAACTAAATTGAATATTCGACTTAGAACTTTGCAGTTCAGGTTTCCAATTTATTTTATGAAAGCACACATAATGGGTTAAAATCAACAGTTAAAGACTTTGAATATTGTGATAGAATGCTTTGGTTTCACCATCCGTAGCTCTTTTTCAACCTAATCTTTTGTCAGCTAACATCAAGCTTATACTTATGTTGTTATGAGCCAACCAGAACAAGAAAGGCGCAAAATACCTTCAAGTAATCTGAAATCAGTTTGGAAACCTTCTATACTGAGTGTTGAAAAAAAAAACAAGGTTCAGATTTCCAACACTAATGTCCAATCAATCAGTGTTTCTGTGTATGGTTCGTAGACTTGACGTGCTGTCTGTCTGTCTGGATTCAACATAGAACTTGGCACCGAAGTGCAGTAGTTCGAGTTGCCACGTTCCAATTGGCACACAAGGTAGACAAGAAGATGAGTGAAGAGAATCAATAGAGTTCGACAAGTATAAGAGTGAAACAGAATGGGTAATGGTAGAAAGGAATATGAAAGATTACAGAGACTGAATACATCTGCGCCACTTGACGTGCACGTCACAGAGAGCCTTTCCAACAGACTTTAAACTGTTATCAAGAACCGCCTCCGCTGGAGCTATACTGAAGATCAGGTGATCAGGTGGAAAAGGATTAGCATCAAGAAAATCAAGAAACACATCATCCAACAACCTTATTACACAAGTATTTTGACGAAGACCTGTAGGCGGCATCACATACTAGGCCATTGCTCGAATGGAACCCGAATGGGAAACAACGATTCGTTAAGGTGATGGAGAGGGGAGGTTGTACGATGAGATGAGAGCCGGCTAAAGACGACTGTAAAGGAACAGGAGTGAAATGGAAATGTGTTGCTGAAGGCATATTTTCAGGAGAAACAAATCATGTATTGATCAAATCACCACACTACGGATCATCATTGTACAAAGCTTTGAATGACAGTCACCTCTCTATCTCAACTTCATCAACTTTGAAAAGACCTTTGACAGCGTCGATCAAGAGGTGATTTGGCAACTACTTCGCTACTATGGGGTGCCATCGACAATTCTACATCTCATCCGACAGTTGTACGACAATGGTGCATGCCAAGTAATCCATACGGGGAAACTAATGGAATCCTTCGAAGTAAAGAAAGGAGTAAGACAAGCTGGCTGCCTACTGTCACCAATGGTTTTCCTGATTGTCGTAGTTTGGATGATGCGACAGACAACGGGCAATGAGGAAACAGGCATAAAATGGACCCCTCGCCCAAACACACAAAAGCTTGGAGGATCTGGACTTCTCCGTTGATGATTTATGTCTAATTTCCCACAAACTGGAAGATATGCAAGTGAAAAGCAACAAGTTGGCAGAAGAAGTATCAAATATAGGACTCTAAGTAAATGTAGAGAAAGCATAAGTTATAAAGATTCTTGGCCAACACCAACAGCAACAACAAAAACAACAGACAAAAGTCAGCCAGCATAAATGGCAGGAGTTTCAAAGAAGCAATCTCCTTTACCTACCTGGGAAGCATCGTTTCAACTACAGGTGGACGGAACTGACGAGGATATCGAAGCAGCGAGGATCGGGAAAGCAAGTCAGGCTTTCGTCTCTCTCAAGTATGTGTGAATATGAACGGTACTCAGCATAAGAATGAAAATGAGATCCGGATTTTCAACTACAATGTGAAGTTAGTGCGACTATACGGATCAGAGACTTGTCGCGGTGTCATGAAAAGCACCTGAAACAAACTACGGACCTTCATCAGCAGCTGTTTTTGCTCAATACTCAAGATCAAATGGTCGGCCAGAAAAGATCAGCAACAGTGATCTCTGACGATATGCGAACCAACGCAGCAGGAACCGATTGTGCAATAAATCTGTAGGAGGAAATGGAGGTGGATTGGCCATTCTCTGAGGAAACTACCGAGTCGCATTACTAGACAGGCTCTCGAGTGGAACCCGAAAGGGAAGCGGCGAGTCGGTCGTCAGTGAGAGGGTGACTTGGAGGAGGTCATGTAAAGAGGAGATGAAAGCATGTGGGGGCAGACGTGGAGCCAGTTGAAAACTTAAGCAGAAAACCGAACGCAATGAAGACGTGCAGCTGAAGCCCTATGTTCCTCTAGGAATTAATGGAAATATTAATAATAATATGTTCCCCTCAGAACCTTAGGGAATAATAATTATATTAATGTGTAGAACAGACTTTTCAAGTACTGTCAATCTGTGAGTCATACTTAATGTGTAGAAGGACTGATGACACTGCCTATTTGCCCATGTTGGATTTGACTGGTGAGTTCTATCTCCATTCTACCAGTGAATAGGTTTGCGCTATTGTCAAGTGCATGAACATGTACGTAGTGGGGTTGAGTAGCAATGTTTTTTAGTTAATTCACGATGCGTCTTTAATTATTTAGAAGGTAGTCAATGTTTGTGAGACGTTTAGTTCGTTTGAAATTTACTCCACTTGTGATGACAAATATTTATCCATTGTTTGTTTCAGTTACGTTGAATCAATCGAATTTATGGAGTCCAAAATCTGTTCATAATTTCCTAATCATGTTAAATGGTATGAAACCGAATATTGTTACATTTGGTATATCATTATTATTGCAAACCTCCCAACTGTCTGGTTGTCGTTGGTAAGTACTTGTTAGTAAGTAGTATGTACATAAGTAGTATATATACATGCAGCGTTTTTTCATTATTTTTATTTCACTTTAAATATACTAAATGAGACTGATTCATTTATAATGTGATAGAAACTTTCTGTTTTTCATCGTGGACCAAGGCTGTTGAAGTGTTCCACTAGCTGGTGTGTTCTTTACGGAGTGGGGTTGCTAGCTGCATGCTTAACCTTCCTTCTTTTTCAAGTGTGTGTTGGTTTGCAGAGATTTGACCTGTTGGAATTCGCGAATCATTGGATCGGGTCCCAGTGGTTTAATGGTCTACAAATTGGCCTTGCGATTGGAAGGCCCTGGCTTCGAAACCTGGTGGTGCGTGAGTACTGATGAAGAGCCCTAAGTACTAGGACGAAACAGCGCAGTCCAGTACTCTCTGGTTTGCTAGTGGTTCTCTCACCAATTTCTTCCCTCTTTTGTTGGGTTTAACTATCGGCTAGTAATCTTGTCGAGGATTTTATGAGTAGTACGTTAGTGTTGACACTGGTACCCAGAACTTCAGCTCTTCTGGCATTGAAGAGTTATAAAACTTCGTCGTAATGCACAGCGATAAATAAAGGTAGCAACGGTGAATTTGAAAAAAAGCGTGTAAAGCAATTCGATAAAATGTCGATTTTTACCACTTCTAAAACATTGCATTAAATACGTTTATTTGTTATGTGTAACAGTAGCGCACAGTGATGGTAACTTCTTTGGTGTTTCGTGCGCAGTTAATTGCTCAACCATCTGTTCTTTCGTATTGACCTAATACAACTAGCGTTTAAAGACTACATCGGCAGGTTGGGAAAGCAATGACTTGACACTAGAAGTGTTGGAAATCCGAATCTTGTACCTTTTGCTGAGGGCAGTAGGCTTTTTCACACTGCTTTCGGAGTAATGAAGGTCTGTCTTGCTTTTCGGATGCTGACTGGATTCGACTTCTTCATCTGCGCCTGTATTTGAAGTGATGCTGTTTAGAAAAGTAAAACAAGTGACCTTCTTCAAATTGCCCTCGTTGATAGTGATTGGCGCTTGTTGTTGTTGTTGGTCGGTGGGTATCTTCATCACCTCTGTCTTCTCTATGTTGGCTTCTATTCGCTGTCCGCCTTTTCTGCCAACTTGTTGGTTTCCGTCTGTAGACCTGTTACATTGACCGATAGCTGCTACCTTAACGTGGTGGTCCGAAGGTTGTTAGGATAGCGATTAGACTAAAGGCAGTTACCGGCCTAGTTTAAGAATCTTTCTTACACTATACTGGAGGTCTGAGGACGAAGTTGTACTGCTGTGGAACAGGGGTGTAATAGCAGTGAGGTGTTTCCTTCAGATGATCAGCATGCCAGCCAGCTATGCTGTCTCTCCACTCCGAAGACAGGGGGTTAGAAAAGGTAGACCCCGAAAATTGTATATCCCGACTTACCCTACGGTGGTCCGTAACTGGTGATAAGTTCACTAATACGGAACCAATTCCAGAAACCAGTTCATATAGGCCTCCAGCAGTTGTCCCCTGGGCTCTGTGGTCACGCAACACTAACCGTCTTTCTGTTTCAGGTACCCGAATAATCAGTCAATCTCCACGGTGTGGGTATTCGGGAAGTAACAACCGCCACACACTTCCAAAAGCACACGAAACCTTCTTAGGAATCATTCTGCTTTACTGAACATTAATCGTCTGAGAGGTTCCGATCTTCTACTGACTTCTTGTCGGTTCAATGTATGCCCATCTTCTCTTTGCTACCGACGGTCTGTTACACAATCTCATTAATTACAATCAGGAGTCATTTTCAAATGGAATGGACTAATTTTTGGAGAAATTATAATGAGAATTCACTTAATGCGTTTTATGTACAGGTTTGTGAATTAATAAACTTCCAGGAACTCTGTCCTTTGTGGTCAGTACTTCCTCTAACTGTTTGGCTTCAAATCTTCGGTTATTTCGTCAGGGATTTCTAGCAGAACTTGGAATGCCGAATGAATCAGAAAATCTGATTACTTATTGGAATTTATTTTTAACATTGGGAAGTGTTTTTATGTGATGTACTACGAACAGATTTGTCGGTCATAACAATATGTGGCTCACTGGTATAGTTAGTTAGATAACTCTCAACTGGTAGTTGTTAGGCTTGAGATTCGAAGTTGCCTGGTCCGTTAAAATAGCAGCTTCCTTAGATCTCATCGACTGCCAATTGCTTGATTGCTGTTATCACGTAGTTTCGAGATATACAGGTGGGGTTGGTCATCTGTTACTATATAGTAGGCGTCTTGTCTGACTGCTAGCCTCAACTCGTATTTGGATTAATTTGGTAAATAATGAGTAGCAGTGAAACCCTGCATGCACATTTCGTCCTATCTGGGACTCGTCAGTTGGGTAGTCTTATTATCTGCTAGACCGCTTTAATTACCTCTTGTGTGATGTGTGTATCACTTATTATCACTGGGAAATGTGGGTATATCCAACTGGCCAATCCCAAACAGGATGAAAGGGCGCATCCTGGACTCCATTACTAGTCGCCATTCACCAAATTACTTCAAGTTAATCCGTAGGCATCGTCGAAACATCCGGTATGTTAACAGAGGCCAGACATTTCAGACCAATCGATCAACGGGAAAATCAAAATTAACTCAAAACTTTCTCTGTTTTTGTGCTGTGCACATACTCTTAAATGTCTTATTTTCACTATTATTTCTTTGCATACAGGTCTTCAGAGCTTGCAACTGCCTATAGGAATTTATTTCATCGGCTGCAGCCATCTTTTCCGTATTTTCTAACAATTCCACCATCTAATTCATTATTGATGGATACCGTTAGTCAAATGACAAAAGATGCTGACACTTGTCTTCTACCAGAATGTGTATTGGCGCTTAGAAGACCGCCTGAAATCAAACACTTGGCATATTTTTACCTTATATATATTGAAATACACTTAGAAGAATTAGAAGCGAATCCCAATAGTACAACCGGATCAAAAGGAAGGTGAGTTCATCCTCCTATTTTGTTGTTGCTCTTTTTGTTTCTTTAATGTCGTATTGTGCCATCTCATTACAAAGCACAATCAATATCAGATCAGTTAGAGAATTATTGGAAACCATGAAACACGTTAGATAGCTGTTTATAAGCGTAACAGTGTGCACCGATGACTAATGCATCAGCGTCCGAAACCTAGGATCTTCTGTTTACAAGGCCAACCTGTTAAGTATTCAGACATTGGGCTGAATTTAGTAACCCGTGAATTCGAACTTCTGTCAATCAGCAGTGTCATCGATGAGCATCTGTTTTACCTTGATGTAGTGGTGGACCTTATCGGCGATGATTTCCCATTAAACCTCCAGGATGTTTATATTTATCAGCCATTAAAGTGAGCTGAAGACTCATGCACAGACTCAGACTTTAGGCTTTTTTTTTAGGGATTTGCATTGTTACGACTAAGAAATGACTCGTTATGGCCTGAGTACGGTAAACTGATCTCTGCAGCCTATTGTGGTGAGGGCTGGCTGCTAGTCAAATTGGTAGATAGTAATTTACGTCAATATGTATGTCCCCAATATTGGTCATGATAAAAAAATAAGAGCAAAGACTGACTCAACAACTAATCACAGCAGACTTTGCTTAGGCGGACACAAATTGTAGATAGATAATCTGAACTTCAAAAAACGGCCACAAAGAGATAACAGATTAACGTTCAGCGAGAAAACAACCAATCAGAAAACTGTATTTTTCTGCTAACAATAATTTATAATATGTACATGAATATCTATGTCTTGATTTCCTTAATGAACTATCCGTTGCCTGGCCCTTGTTGTCTGTTGTTACATTCGGTGTCTCTGCCTACCGACGAATGGAAAGCCTATGCCCTGCAGTTTTTGATGGAGACATATGGATCTTCGAGCAGGAGTTCGAGGCTTCGACGCAGTTGAGTGGCGTTCAAGATCTGTCAGCGATGAGACTGCTACTTGGGATGCTACTGGGAGGTCGGGAGAAAGCAGCATATGAAAGTGTGACGCGAACTACCGACAAATGTGCAACAGTGTCAGGCAAACAGTTTCCAAATTGGGAAGGATCACATATGGTCACTTTGAGACGATGGGGTTACGCAGACACAATCGCAATGATAAACAAAGAGAAACAGGTGAACATCAGAGAGTGCCGAGATTCCAGACAGGAAGACAAACGAACAAAGCTCCTAGAACCAAGAAAACCGCACCAGCTTCAGTCGGAAGTCTTTGACGGGGGACGAGTGTGGTGAGAGCTGGTTGCTAGCCAAATTGGTAGGCAGTAATTTACGTCAATATTTACGTCCCAAATATTGGTCATGAGAAAAATAAGAACTAAGACTGATACAACAACCAATCACAGCAGACTTTGCGTAGGGGGATACAATTTGCAGTTAGATAATCTGAACTTCAGTATCATTACACAACCACAACGAGAAGTATTCGAATTAAAGATTAAACAGGCACAAAGATAAGTAATAATTATAAGGATCAAATCAACATGTGGTATTCAAACGTCTAGGAGAGCTACGGATAATAATTAAAAATAAGTTAGTTGCAACGTCCAAATAAGTACAAATTTACATGTATCTGTGGGAGTAGTTACATTGGAAGAATAGGAAGAAGGACATATCTGCCATTTTCTGTATATGTACCAAAAAGCCTATGTCTCAGGGGAACAAATGCTTTATTAAAAAGTACCATCGTCAGGCATCTTCTTGACACGGGTCATAAGATGGACGTCGAAAAGTCGTTCAAAATTATCAATAGGCAAAAGAGTTAAAAATCTCCTTACATTTACCGAGGCGATCTCCACCAAGCGCCTGAAACCTGATTCATGCATCCACAAAGAAGCAGTTGTCAGTCTTTCTTTGCCCAACCTGGTAACTCGATATTTTCATCCTCTCTTTCATCTGATTACGTAATGCCGGAAGTCTCCATTGTTTATGATCATTATTGTTCGGAATAGTGTTTAATATTATTATATATATTATTGTTGTATTCATATACTGATTGATTTTGTTTAAAAATGAACTCTCTGTGCAAGTATGTTAAAATTGCATTTTTAGGTGTACTAAAAATAATTACTGTGGCCTGTTAGCAGCTGATAAGAAACCAACGAAATAAACAATGATGGTACCATTTTATTCTGCAAAAGCCACTGTTGTTGTTCTTACTTTATTCAAATTATTAAGGGGAATAAATGTATGATATTGTGATTAGATCACTCAAGAGGGATTGTCCAAACAATTTTTTTTTTGGTACATCCATGAATTACTGACTTACTTTAATTAACTTAATTAAAGAATCTTAGAGAATACCCAGGAGCAGTGGATAGTTGTTTTATCTTAACATGGGACTGTCGAGCACTTCACACCCGTGACCCGCTCATATATAATCGATTTCATGCTTTCACTGATTCCTATCCAGAAACATCAGTTAGGCAGTTAGATGGAACAATAGTGCCTAAAACTGTAAATTCACTTAACTGGGGGGGCAATCTAAAGGATAGCGACTATGGAGTGGGAACACACCGGTAAACATTGAACGTATAGTATTCATTGGATTAAAGAGCCTTTCGTTAATACAGTGGCAGTATGAACGCTGTACACGACGAATTGATGTGTAAATTTAATCCTGGCCTCGTTTTTAAGTATTCTGTTTGGACAATGAGTTAATGGTGACGTTAGAGTTAAGATTAGTATTAGGGTTAGGGTTGGGGATTACGGTTAGAGTAAGCATTAAAGTTAGGACGCTTTATTACTATTATCTGCATTTTCCTTGTAAATAAATGGAAGGTGAATAATTTCTTGTGGTTCATATAGATGAAACCGTTTTGATATCTATAAAACTTGAAAACTGATGCCCTTTTCTTGTAATTGGGAAAAGTATTTTTCCAGTTACAAGTATAACCCTTGGGCCACTGTGGTAGAGTATAACTCCATTATGGATAAGATTTTATTTTGATAAATCACACAGTGTTGTTATACAGTAGTAATATTTACTGATGACCAAGTTTCGAGCACAAACTATTGCCACTCATAATCATATCAAGTTACTCACTCACACAACGTTTTTTTTCTTCATTTATATGCATGAGTGGAATTGATGACTAGACATTTGGATAAAAATCAACCAATATAGGATAATGTACGTTCGGAAATAATGTTAGTAAATTAATTTTACAAGGATAACACGTAATTAAAGATGAAATTGTCAAAATAAATAATAAAATAAAATAATTTGCACAATTATAATTTTTATAATTTTGAAAGGTTAAGGGGGACGGGGGCGAAGTAGTCCTGTTTATGCATTCATGTAACGATGGCCACGGTAAGGAAAGTCTCTGTACAAATTTCTTCTGAACACATAGGCTTGGCTTCTTCAGGTGGATTCCTATTGCTTTAGCTATCTGTAGAAGACGAACTCGTAGAGCGAAATTAAGATTAGTAGGAATGCGATAGATAATTTTAAATGCAGTATTAACGTCCACCTTATGCTCACTATCTACAAGGTGTGCTAAAATAGAGCTATGAATAGATCTTGTTTGTCCCTTGCTCAAGTATGTTGGATGATGTTAGTATCATCAATCAAGTACAGTCAGATGGGAAATAAGACGAGTGTTTTTATAGTAAAATTAAGTAACTTGTTAGAATGTTGTAATGTATGTGAATTGAATACATTTTAGCATTACTTATTATTCCCTGATTTGAATGGTTATAAAATTAAAATGTAGTCAATTCACGTACATCATAACATTCTAACAAGTTACTAATTTGGTTATAGGATTTCATCACGGGCTGACATTGGTTAGAGAACCATTGGAAAACTTGGGAGTACTAGACAGCTGTTTCGTCAACCCAGTTTGGAACTCTTCAGCAGTACGCACCCGCCGGGGTTCGAACCCAGGACCGAAACAGCTGTCCAGTACCTGCAGGTTTTCCAATGGTTCTCTAACTGATGTCAGCTCATGATGAAATCCTGCAACCAATCAACCAAATCCCTACAAACCAACACTTGAAGTTACATATTTATTATGACCATAAAAACACTCGTCTGATTTCCCATCTTATTGTATCTGATGAGTAACACTCATATCATTATTATCATTTCTGAATGCACATTATCCTATGTTGGTTGATTTTTATTCAGATGTCTAGTCATCAATTCCACTCATGTATGTAAATGGAGTAAAAAGTTGTGTGAGTGAATGACTTGATGTGATTATGAGCAGGAATAATTTTTACTCGAAAGGTGTTCATCGGTTAATATTACTGCATAACAACACTGTGTGATTTATCAAAATAAAATCTTTTCTCAGATACGTCACCGTAAAATACTGCCTCTAATGTGTTTCATTATTACTATTATTATGTCAATTTTTCTCATAATTGAACTGCTTTTTGATGTCAAATACACGGCAGGTTCTGTAATCCAATGAATGGTATGCGTTCAAGGTTATTGGCGCGTTCGCACTCCATAGTTGCTATTCTTTATGTTTGCCTGGATATTAACTATACATATTGTGTTTTAGAGGTGATGACAATTTGACTTAGTTGCTCAGGCTAAAGTATGTAGAGAATTATAGGATTCGAACCCTGGACTCATATCTTCATTGCATCATTTCATGACTTGTCTACCACCAATCCATTCCGCATACTCTATTACGTGGAGTTGTTGTAACAACAGAAGACAAGGACCAGGCAACAGATCGTTTATTAAGGAAATCAACATGTATTTATATATTTTCATGTAGCTTGTTCAAGCAAACAAACACACTTCTGATTGGTTGTTTCTCACAGAAAGTTGACCTTGCATCTCTTTGTGGATGTTATCTCTTGAATGTCAGATCATCTATATGTTAACTCTATCTGCCTACGCAAAGTCTTCTGTGATTGGTTGTTGAATCAGCCTTTGTTCATATTTTCTCACGACCAATATTTGGGTCATACACATTGACGTGAATAATTGTCTACCAATTGGCTGGCAGCCTGCTCTCACCACATTGTAAGTTGAAATAATAAGGTGAATACGAGTTATACTTTCTATCCTATTTTGGAAAAGTTCTTTATTATATCCTATTCATAATGATATACCCTTAAGCTTAAGATAGTTTGGCATCACTGTTACTTGGTTGCAATCTGTTGGCGGCTGTGGTTCACTCTGGTGTAGGCTATTGCTTGACTTCCAAATACTGAGCTAGTTCCACCTATCGAGACATTTAGACGGTCAGGTATTATCACTAGCCGTCAGATAATATGCGTGGCTCAATGTCATCTGGATAGACTTAAGTCCTTTGGGTCATTCTTTTTGTCTAGCTTTTGCATGCACTTTTGCAATATACAGCCTGACTGACTGTCTTTTTCAACTTTCGCTTCACCGAGTTACCTGTATGAGAATGAAAATCTCCCGTTTTCTTATGCTACCGACAAGTTTTCTTTCCCTTTTCAACCATATTTTTTTTTGTTTTCATTTTTTTTTAGAAATTTACTCGTAACTGAAATATCAACCTCGTTATTTTCTGTTTTAAATGAAATTCTTTCAAAATTCGAAGAAACCTCGTCAGATTATCCTATCATTATGAGTCATTGTAAGTAGTGGATTTTATTTGATTGTTGGTTTTTGTCGGTTGTTCAGTTCCATTTTATATGCCTATGGTGTTAAAATTTAGAATGTAAAACAGGAGTTCATTCATGTTCTTCTGAAATAGCTCAGTTAAAACTTGGCTAGTCGGAAGAGATTTTCCTGTCTTAAAGTACCTGAACTACACTGATTTTTTGAGAGTTCGTGATTCTTCTCTAGTTGGTCGACTTCCAACCATGTGTGTCATGAGTTCAAACCTCACTCCACCCACCGAGATTCAGGCAACCAGGTAGTGCCACCAGTTCATACACACATTGTGTGTGTGGTGTCCATTTCCAACTTCGTGGAATTCTAAACGTTTTTTGAGTAATGTTTTGTTCCTGTTTCAGTTTTCCAGACTGAGGATATAAGAATAAAACTTGTACGCTGTGGTAGAGTATAATTTCATTATGGGTTGAATTTATTTTGATATAGTCTTACAGTATTATACAGTAATATTTACTGATGACCACGTTTCGAGTACAATTTGTTACTGCTGATAATCATAGCAAGGTACTCACTCATACAACTTTCTAACTTCGATTATATAATTCCATTATTTTGCATCGCTTGATTTGATGAGTAGTGGTGTTTTCTATATTTCCGGTATGAGTGATGAGCCATTCCTATTGCAAGTGTCGCCTGTAGACTCGATGAACAAGGATTCGGTAATCAATCTCTCTCTGTCTCCACCTACATGGATCAGATTACTTCTTAGAATTTTAACCCTTTCTCATCCTATTGTGTGGTTGTGTGTTAATATGTGCAGTGCGACCGCTGAACTTTTTTCTAAATTACTTATCTTCTCGAGTAGGGTCAACCATTCTTACCTTAGCTAAATTCTTATGTTCTGATAATCTGACTACCCCTGACCTACTAGTTTGACCTATGTAGTTGACCTAACTCACAGTCATTGCAGGGTATTTTGTAAATTATATTATTTTGTCTAATTGGGTCTTTTGACCTACATAGCTTGTTCTATCTGAGTGAGTTTGTAGGTTCCAGTGAAACTCTCATTCCTGTTTTATTCAGAATTCTACGTAGGGTCTGAGATGTCCTCTCCTTGTATGATATTAAAGTAGATGCCTTATATTCTCTCTTATTTATGTCAGGATTATTAGTTTCGCAATTATTTTTAATTTTGCTTTTGACCTTTTTTTAATCTTCCTAATGAACTTTATAGGATAGTTAGTTATTTAACACCAACCAGCTATTCTCCTATCTGTTTTATTTTATCATTTAAGCCTTCTGTTGTACTATTGAATTGAATTTTTGATTTTCCCGTCGATTGATTGGACCGAAGTGCTCGGTCTCAGGTTGACATGTCGGCTTCTTGTGCAGATGCTTCGACGATGTCTGGGCATTTAGTTAGTATTTAATTGGTGGATGGTGACTAGCAGTGGAATCCAGGATGCGCATTTCGTCCTATTTGGGACTCGTCAGCTGGATGTACCTGCATTTCTCAGTGAGTGGTGATGTTCCCACTCACTGAGAAAGCAGGTACATCCAGCTGACGAGTCCCAAATAGGACGAAATGCGCATCCTGGATTCCACTGCTGGCCACCATCCACCAATTGTATTCTGTTGTACTACTTAGTGCTACTGCTTGGTTTGTTAGACACTTAACTAAGCCGCCTGCCTGAACAGTTAACAGATGAGATGAATTAAAGTCTAAATATATATTAGAATGCGTTGAATTTTTATAAACACTAGCGTTTATAATTTATAACAGTAGGGTGGAGAGGGTTAAAATTCTAAGAAGTAACATAGGTAGGTGGAGAGCGAGACAGGTTGATTACGGAATCCTTGTTCATCGAGTCTACAGCCGACACGTGCAATAGGAATGACTCATCACCCATACCGGAAGTATGGAAAATACTACTACTCATCACATCAAGCGATGCAAAATAATGGAATTATATAAACGAAGTCCTTTACCTACCTGGGAAGTATCGTTTCAGCTACAAGGCGGAACTGACGAGAATATCAAAGCAGCGAGGATCGGAAAAGCAAGACAGGCTTTCATTACTCTCAAGTCTGTGTGGAAGTCAACAGCACTCACCGTCAAAAATAAGATCCGGATTTTCAACTCCAATGTGAAGTCAGTGCTGCTTACTGTACGGATCAGAGACTTGGCGCCGCGTCATGAAGAGCACCTCAAACAAACTTCAGACCTTCATTAACAGTTGTCTTCGCTCAATACTCAAGATCAGATGGCCGGCGAAAAGATCAGCAATAGGGAGGATCTCTGGCAATGAGTGAACCAACCAGGAACCGATTGTGAAACAAATAGGCTGGAAGAAATGGAGATAGACTGGTCATACTCTGAGGAAACTATCATGTAAGTGACATCACTAGACAAGCCATCGCTCGAGTGGAACCCGAAAGGGAATCCGTGAGTTGGTCGTCAGTGCAAGGGTGACTTGTAGGAGGTCATGTGAGGAGGAGATGAAAGCATGTGGGCAGACTTGGAGTGGGGTGAAAAAGTTGGCAGAAAACAGAAGGCAATGGAGGTACGCAGCTGAAGCCCTATGTTCCTCTAGGAATTAAAGGATAAGATAATAATAAATATATAAATGAAGTTAGAAAGTTGTGTGAGTGACTGAGTACCTTACTATGATTATGTGCGGCATCAAATTGTGCTCGAAACGTGGTTATCAGTAAATATTGCTGTACAATAACACTGTCAGACTTTATCAAAATAAATTTTACCCGTAACAGACTGAGGGTAAGTTGTGTGAGACTCGAACCTAGGACCTACTGATCGAAAATTGTATGCTTTAAGACAATGAACCACGTCTGCATTATGACATGTATTATTTATTGAGCAATGATTAGTTTATTCACATAGAAGTTCATGCACTGTGTAATATACTGAGAATAATTTTTTTAAAATTTCAAAATTTCAAATTAAATACTCACAGTAGAGTGAGTGGGTTGGTGGTGATACTCTAGCCTGGTCTCAGCCTCTCGTGGTGTGTCTTTGCGCATCAGGATAAACCATCGTTCAGTGCCGTTTGGTCGTCAGTGCAAGTGTGATATTCTGTCTGTCTGTCTGTCTGGATTCAACATAGAACTTGGCACCGAAGTGCACCAGTTCGAGTTGCCACGTTCCAAATAGCACACAAAAGTAGACATGAAGATGAGTGGAGAGAATTAATAGAGTTTGACAAGTATAAGAGTGAAACAGAATGGGTAATGGTAGAAAGGAATATGAAAGATTACAGAGACTGAATACATCTGCGCTGGCCATTGACAACGATTTTGAGCCATGTCACCTATTGTCTCCAGCCATTGATTCCTAGAGTCCCGAGAGCCCCAACCTGGAAGTCTGCATCTCCCTACCTGTCTCAGTTTAACTGTCAAGGATTTCATGGATTGATGAGGCCATGTTTTTGTTTGGTCACCACTGGCTCTTTTCCAACCTACACCTATATCAGCTAGTAATGCCCGTCGGCGGGGGGAGGCGGTGGTTAGGCATGAGCAGCACGTGACCTAGCCATCTCAATCTATGTAACTTTATAGCCTCGTCGATTGATTTTCCCTCTTTGCCCAACACTACGCCTAACGTCAACATTACTTACCTTATTATACCACCACCTAACGTGAGAAGGAGATCGCAGACATCTATGATCGAAATCAGTCAACCTTTTCATGTCTTCAACTCGTATTGGCCATGTTTCAGAGTCATAGCGAAGGACGGAGCGAACTGATGAGCAGTACACACGTCCCTTGGTTGATGGCCGGATGTCACGCCTACGCCAGAGATCGATGGTTTTTTGGCTTCTGTCGTTTTTAGTGGACACAGAGTGAAGAGGGAGTGAGGACCCATCAAGTAGAGGAGTTGTATCAGTGGGAGAAAGACAAGGCAATGGAGATGAAGACAAAGATAAGTGAGGATTAGAGAGGTTTTGTGTGCATTTCGGATTGTGAGGGCGTTTGTTACTTCCCGGCTGCCCACACCGGGGAAGTTGGTTGCGTGACCGCAGAGCCCAGGGGAGAACTGCTTGAGGCCGGTCACACGCGGCCTGTTTTTGCTTGTTCTCTTTTGTTTGGTGTGTGATATTCATGTGATATCAGTTCATAGCAGGATCAACTTTGAGTTAGGTCTAATATCATTCCCTGCTCTTCGGCGTATGCTGAACAATTCAATTAGACAGGCAGACGGAGTTAATATTTTTAAGAATCATGACTGATGATAAAAAATGAGTGAGTAAGAGAACAAGACCCCACCCCCCATAAACCAACTGGTATAGCTGAGGAGGGGTAAATTTCGGTCTTCCTCTCCAAATACTCTCATATAGCCACGCGTTCATAGACTCTATGCCAGCTAACTCTTATTCACAACCTACCTTCGTGTAGCAGGGCTGCTCCTCACAAAGTTGAAAGGATGATTATGAATGTCTGATGCTTACAACCGAACTCTGGTAGACATTCAGTTCTACCTAGGGGAGCTGGCAAGTTCTCATTCAAAACCACCTGTAGTGTACATGAGCTCTACTCGCCGAACACATCGAATGAACCACCTGTTTTGATCACGGGAAACCATGAGACTGTAGCTTCTAACGCTACTCAATTGTCTTGCAGAATCAGCCTTCAAATCAAAGACTTAGGGGTGGGTGGTGAAAAAAACAGTTTTCTTTTATTTTACAAATCTTGGGAAATACTTATGAGGAAATTTGAGAGAAAAGAACAAGAAGCTCAGCAGCAAATCGATATCTTTTCGGTGATTTCATCTTGAAATGCAGCTGTACAGTCGCATTTATATACATAGGTTAACATAGTTACAATTATTATTTAATTCCACATTATCACGAAGGAGACTGAAGGAGGTAATATTCAACTTAGAATGAAAGTCTGAAGGTGTGAATATATAAAAAACAAGGGGCTTAGATTTAAATTTACACAGGACTAGAAAATAGATGCGAAATATGCGTTCTAATAAGTTTTTAACGAAGACAGGTGTGATGAACAGGATGAACGTGGAGACAAAATTGAAATAATAGTTTTTGTAATTAAAAATGAAAAAAAGTGAAAAAGATTGAAAAACAACATAAAACAGAAACTAGCTATTCCAGCTCAGGACCTTCCGGTTACAAGGCGAGCTCTCAGACCACTAAGCCACTGGGACCTAACCCAATGGTCTGTTCATGAATTCTAACTTCTGCCGATTCATGATATCTCGTGACCACTAGCAAATGTTATCAGTGGCGAGTATTTGTTCTCTCACCCTATTGGTCGCGACTTCCCACTAGAACCAAGCTAACCACCTCTCGCTTAGTCACTAGGGATCATCAGATCGATTTTCAAGTGTTGGTTTGCAGGGATTCGATTGGCTACAAGATTTCATCATTATCTGACATCGGTTAGAGTACCATTGAAATACGATGAAGTACTGAACAATTATTTCGTCCCAGTCCGGTACTCTTCATCAGCACGCACCCATGGCCTTCCTGTTAAAAGGCAAGCTTGTACAGTTCTCATCAATACACCTACTACATTTCAAGTTCGAATACAATATGCAGATTGGTTGATCAACTGGCTAGTAGTCGTGCTTTATCGTGAATTGGCAGAAGTTGGAATTAATGGGACAGTGGTGTGATTGTCTATAAGCTTGCACTGTGACCGGAAGGTCCTGGGTACAAGCCCTGACGATAAGTTTGTACCGGTAAGGAGTCCAGAACTAGGACGAAACAGTTGTTGAGTACTCCTTGGTGATTTTCCAACTGTTCTGTAACCGATGTCTGCCCGTTGTGAACGCATGTTGTAACAGCAGAAGGCAAGACACAGAAGCCAAGGTCATCAAACCGCTATTTGTATAAATACAGTTTATATTCTTGTACCAATCCTGAGCATGTGATTTTTGATTTCCGACATGAAATAAAATGTTCAAATAACTATATCGTATTCTGTTGTTAATACCATATTGATCTGTGGGAATATGTGAGAATAATATTCCGTTGGAATACATTGTCTGTAACACACAAACATAATGTAGCCAATCTAATTCCCGCAAACCAACACATGAAAAACTAAGGTGTCAAAGTGACCGAACTAGATCCCTGATGAATGTAGGTGATGTAGTAGTTCCTTTTTGAACAGGTGTCTTGTATTCCACTGGTAGCTGTCACCAGAAATCAAGTATAACCTGTCACACTGGTTTGATAAGTGAACTCATGAATAATCTCGGTTGTACCAAAATTTGTTCTGTTACTACTACTACTACTATTAATAATCTTGTTTCAAACTCTGTTACGGTTTCTAGTCTATTAGGATTGTTTTTTATAGTTTGAAAATTATTTGAGAATTGTTTGCCTACTAAACAGATTCTGTACATTTTCGAAAAAAAAAATTCTTTCTCATTATAAGCGTCGTATTAGTGAATAACGCTCATTCCTTTTTTGATTTGTGTTGCCTTTATCTTCATCATATTTTAGTACTGTGGATAGATTATCTGATGTGTTCTCGCCGTCGTGATTATACTGAAATGCAAGAGTGTGTCCTCGCTGTAAGTTTCCCCCTTTTTCTGTTTGTTACAGATTACCTCTTCCTATATAACAATAGCGGGTTGCACAACTTAATCTCTGTCAGTTGTGGTAATGTTCATTGGCTTACGGGTTCGGGGTTAAAAACCTTTTCACTCCACTTCATTCAATCCTGTAACCAATCAATCAAATCCCTACAAACTAACACTTGAATATCGATGAGATGCTCACTAGCAACTGGCCCTATTCAGCTGGTAGTTACCTGGGGTTCTAGCGAGAAGTAGTGACCAGTAGAGTGCAGCAGATCGGTTGTGAGGACAAATACTCACCGAAGACAATGGCTAGGGGTCGCGCTATGCCATAAGTTGGCAGAAGTTAGAATTAATGGGCTGGCTGGCCACTATATTGGGTCCCAGTGGCTTGGTGGGGTCTACAAGCTTGCTAGCCTTGTAACCAGAAGGTCCTGGGTTCGAACCTCGATGGGTTCATACTGATGAAGAATCCTAGACTAGGCTGACGAAACAGCTGTCCAGTACTCCCAGTTGGTTATCAATGTTTCTCTAAGTGATGTCAGCTCATGATGAAATCCTGTAACCAATCAAATATCCCTACAAACCAACACTTAAATATTTTTATTTTATTTTATTGAAACACAAACTTATTGGTACCAAGAGGCGCGTCACACAATATCTCATATTTTGTTCGGGGGGTCGGGATATCCCCCGAACACCTCAGACTGAAGCACATAGTTTCCTTAAGCAGCCACTCCTGAACGTTTGACTTTTGAAGTCTGATCCACAAGGCAGTAGACCAGTGTCAGGAGCCACGTTTTCGTGGTTTCTGATAATCAGTGCAATTTCTTACACCAATCGATCCGTTAGGATTCTAGGGTTCGTGTACACTATAGTTTTGGAATCAGGGTTTTCCAGCCCCCCCCCTCCCAAATATGTAGACCTGAATGTCAACCAAGTTCGGTTGCATGAGCATAGGACATTCTCATTCGCCCTTTCACTTTTGTGAAGAACGCTGTCACGACGGAGGTAGTCAGTGGATATGAACGCTTGGTCGCATGAGAGCATTTTGAAAGGGAGACCGATATGTACCCATCTTCGGCCGTAACCACGTCGTTTATGAGGGCTAATTCAGTCTGGCCAACAGGGTAGTATCATCAGTTGTTATATGCACACATACAATATGTGTAGGTCATAGCTTGCTTTCTAGTAAATTCTAAATGAAAAGACTTGTTTCAATGCTGATATCTGCTTAAAAGTATGTAAAACATTCTTTAGGCATTTCTTTAGAAATTCGTTGATATCACCCTATCTGAGCAGTATTCCACTTTTATTTATTTATTTTTGATTACAGCTTGATTCCACACTGTATTTTTGGCACAAGTATGGAATTTTCAGCGTGGATATCGGTAGCCCGAATTTCGCAGGCCGACCATAGATATCAAGGTGTGCGTCGGCGTGGGCTCGAACCCCGGACCATGTGCATGGTTGGCGGGAGTCCTAACCACTGTGCCATATTAAGCGGTTGAAATAGATACAAGAGAATATAGCTTGATTTGTGGTAAAACGATATACTACTACCGTTTCACTCTCAGAAGGTCGTATTCATCAGTGGTGTACTCGGTTTGACTCAACTCACAGAGCTGAATCACTTCAAATCCCTTGATATATGATTGGCTACTTTAGCGAACTGGTGTAACGGTAGAAGACGAAAACTTGCCAAAGGAATATTTATTGCCATTTTGATATCGCTGTATGGCGGAATTATGTACACTATCTTCAACGCACCATTTGTACAAATCTTCCGTGTTGTACTACTTCTAGTCTTCCTTCATGATGTTAATCTGAAGGGCGTTCATCGTCAAAGCATCAGTACTAGAGACGACCAACATATCAATATACATCACAAACATTCAATCAACAGGATATACAAAATCACATTATGGTGAGAGCTGGCTGCAAGTCGGAAATTGTATTCAACAATTTACGTCAATGTTACGTCCCAAATCAGGGTCATGAGAAAAACAATAACAAAGCTTAACCTTGAGGAACTCACCAACTAATCACAGCAGACTTACCGTGTGCAAATACGATTCGCGGATATATGGCTTAACTTTCTGAGAAACGGTCACAGGCAGTACACAATAACCTTCAGCAAGAAAACAACCAAACAGAAGACGTTGCTTCTGCGAGAAAAATAACGCTAATAATAATAATAATAATAAATCAATACATACCTCTTTATTTCCTCAATAAACGATCTGTTGCCTGGCCCTTGTCTTCTGTCGTTACAATACCAACAATTGAGAATGGATTTAGTTGCTTAACTAGGCAGTTGTTATGTTGCTGCTGCTGAGTGTTTAATAGTAGTTTTCCCCGTCGCCAACTTGTTATGTACTCGTCGCCAAATTATTGTTATGTACTGGTCGAGAATTTAATAGTCCTGACGCAAGAAAGATGGAAATCAGAAGACCACTAGGTTTGCGATGATACTTCTATTTTCCAAACACAAGGAGAATCAAAATGTCACAAGAGTGTGCGAGCAAAAATATATATAAATGTCCGAACAAGTGTGTGAACAATCAATAGGCAGGCTAACATGATTGGCTAATTATAATGGAGTATCGATCCATATATACATAGCAAAATATAGCAGACATATCAACAAACATACATATTATATATAATATAAGGGGAATATGCGTTGTTAAAGGAGACAGGTTCATCAAAGTGAAATGGTCACAGACTAAGAGAGCAACAGAAAGAGAGACCACCATATATATATATATATATATATATATATATATATATATATATATATATATATATATATATATATATATATATATATATATATATGGATACATATCAGCAGTTTTGGGATAAAAAGAAGACAATTCAATGCTACGCACTGTTCTCTAATCAATAAGAACAATTTCATGTTGTTTTCTTTTAATGTTTAGCTTCAAAAACATCTTTTAACGCATAAAATTGTTGTCTCCCGTGCATACAGTGTTCGTCACGGTGATTTAACACTAGGTAAGTAAGTACTCTTTGTTTTTGTTTATCGGTCTTTGTTTTAAAGTGTTTAAAATCGTCTTTGTGTAGTTTGTTCATTAAGCATTTCCAATAGTCTGCAGAGATCTGTCCACAGGAGGATGGTGCTTAGAAGGGCTTCGTGTGCTTTTGAAATTATGTGTGTGTGGGGGTTTGTTAAATCCCGGCTGCTCACACTGTGGAAGCAATATTGAGTTTAGGCTTCGGTCGAGTGCTAAGTAAGGAGGGGAAATCAGTCGACGAGGCTGTGAAGTTACATCGACAGAGTCAGATGGTTAGCACATGCCCAGCCATCGCCTTCCTCGACGAGCAATGGTGGCTGACACAGGATGCGTCAGGTTGGAAAAGAGCCAGTGGTGGTCAAACCGAAACATGGCTTCATCAGTTAATGAAATCCACAACAGTTTGGTGACGGAGGTTTTTCCTTCATGTTTTTATTGATGAATCTCTGTGAATACCCATTCTGTAGTAGGATTTCACGTAAAATGTAACTATCCAAACGTAGAACTATGGACCCTGCTAAGTTAAATAATTTAGAAAAACAAAATCGATCGTTGCACTGGATTCACTTGTACGTAATCACATAACAAGGTGGGATAGTTAGTTAGGTGGACAGAGAGAGAGAGATAGGTTAATCAGTGGAATCTTTGTTCATCGAGTCAACACTTAAATATGTGCAGTCGAAATGACGCAACACCTATACCTGGAGATATGAAAAATTGCAACAAACAACAAGGAGTGGGGAGAGAGAGGGAGGGAAAAAAATACACAAAACAAATTATAAAATCGTGTGAACAACAAATTGTGCTCAAAATGTCATCCCTTTTATGAGTACACTGTTTCATGTGTTGTGTGTGCTCCAACAAATAAAATTATCCAATAGGCGAACTTAGTTCCGCCGATTATTGGGTTTTTGTTCCCTTTATAACTGGGGAATGTTTATTTAAATACGCCTTATCTGAAAATCGCCAATATGCACAGATCTTCTGTGATGCTGTGCTATTTCTGCCCTTCCTGCGTCCTGTGTTTCTTTGTCTGCTATTCCTGTCTCACATGTTTTGCCGCACTACACTGGTTCATTTGCTCTACTTTTGACGTCCGCATCTTGATGTTTCTGTGGCAATTTATATACTACTAAAAAATCCTGTCAGTAGTACATGCTAAAAAATATTTTAATTTTCGAGAAAATTATGATTATCATTACTCTTTCCTCTCTGAAAAATTGACAATTTCAGATTATATGAATCGTTTACTGTCAAAGCTAAAAGATGTTTCATCGTTTGATCGTTTAATTCAACTATCTCATGATGGTCAACATGCTGATGTTGTCGTAGAATTGACGCGTATCTTTCAACTTCAACGTGGTACAAATTCGGTAGGTTATGTGGACTTTTATATTGAAGAATATGTCTGTCTGTTTTCTACAAAGAACTTTGCACATGTGTGCGGCAGTTCAAATCGCCACACTCCACTCCTTGTAGCATACAAACCAACAGAAGAAAGTAGAAGAAATGCATAATAGAGACAGTAAACAGAGGTGTGAGACAAAAGGAATGGTAATAACGAAGAAATCATAAGTCACAAGGAGTGAATGCATCCGCACCGGCCAGCCATTGAGAACGATGAGTTTGAGCCATATCACCAATTGTTTCCAGCCTTCATTGGTTTCTACCATCCCAAGGACCCGAACCAGTCAGAAAGTCTACACCTTCCTATATGGCTGGATGGCTTAAACTTACTGTTGTCCATTTCATTGACTGATGAAGTCGTGTTTTTGTTTGAACACAAGTAGCTCTTCTCCAACCTGATCTATCCTGTCAGGCAACATTGCCCATGGAGGAAGAAGATAGATGGCTAGGGATACGTAACACATGTCCTAACCATCTCAATCGATGCAGCTTCACAGCCTCGTCAATCGATTTCCCTTCCTGATCAAGCCCTCAACTGAGGCCTAACCTCAATATTGCTTACCCCACAATACCATTTTACACGAGAGATAGAACGCGGGCACCTATGGTCAAAGACAGCTAGCTACGCGGTATACGTGCTCTACCACTTCACTTCCTTTTTGCAATCTAGGAGGCTCAATAGCCTGACATACACAAAACTAATTTATCTTCAGTATGTTGGTTTGTGGGCACTTTTGATTAATTTCAGATTATTAGGCGACAAACTGAAATCAGGTAGAGAGAGAACCAGAAACAAAAAAAAACAATTGAGGAAGTAGAATTCCTCCACTTAGATCGCTAGCAATACACACACACACACATAGAATTCAGCTTATCACAATCCTGATCCGAAATACTTTCTTGGATGAGACACATGATCAATTAGGTCCTGCTGAGACATTTGTTTTAGTTAATTTCAAATATGTGTTTATAAATAATAAATTATTTTCGTTTGAGATAGTGATCCTGAGGCATTGTTGGAGAAGCATTAAAACGAAGGAGTAGTGGGTAGGAGCTGTTTCAGTTTCCAGTTGGGTCTGGGATGTGTACTGATATGAAGAGTCTTAAACTGGTACGAAACAGCTGTGAGATACTTTGTAGTTCTCTAAACGATGTTGCTGTGTGATCGAACTTGAAAATGATATGTATCTCTGTTGATATAAGTATAAAACTTGGGCACTGTGATGGTAGAGTATAACTTCATTATGGATAAGATTTTATTTTGATAAAGCGTCACACAGTATTAATATTTACTGATGACCAAGTTTCAAGCACAAACTATTGCCACTCGTAATCATATCGAGTTACTCACTCACACAACGTTTTTTTTCTTCATTTATATACATGAGTGGAATTGATGACTAGACATTTGAATAAAAATCAACCAGTATAGGATAATGTACATTCAGAAATAATAATAATAATAATAATAATAATAATAATAATAATAATAATAATAATAATAATAATAATAATATGAGTGTTATTGATCAAATACAGTGAAAGATGGGAAATCAGACGAGTGTTTTTATAGTCAAAATAAATAAGCAACTTGTTAGAATGTTGTGAGGCACGTGAATTGAACTGAAATAGAATTTTGAGATTATTTATTTTGCTCCTCTGATTTGACTGACGGTAATACCTTACAATGACTGTGAGGTTAACTATATAGGTCAAACTAATAGGTCGGGGGTAATCAGATTGTGAGAACATAAGAATTTAGCTAAGGGGATAATGATTGACCTCACCAGCGATGATGAGTAATTTAGAAAAAAGCTCATCAGTTGCACTGCACTCATTAACACACAACCACACAATAGGGTGAGAGAGGGTTAAGATTCTAAGAAGTAATCTATGTAGGTGGATAGAGAGAGATTGATTACTGAATCCTTGTTCATTGAGTCAACAGCCAACACATGCCACAGAAATGACTCAGTGCAAATACCAGAGATACGCATGGAAGATATTATTACCAGTCAGTCAGTCAGTCAGTCAGTCAGTCAGTCAGTCAGTCAGTCAGTCAGTCAGTCAGTCAGTCAGTCAGTCAGTCAGTCAGTCAGTCAGTCAGTCAGTCAGTCAGTCAGTCAGTCAGTCAGTCAGTCAGTCAGTCAGTCAGTCAGTCAGTCAGTCAGTCAGTCGGTCAGTCAGTCAGTCAGTCAGTCAGTCAGTCAGTCAGTCAGTCAGTCAGTCAAATCAGAGGAGGATAATAAATAATCTCAAAATTCTATTTCAGTTCGATTCACGCACATCACAACATTTTAACAAGTTACTTATTTATTTTGACTATAAAAAACACTCGTCTTATTTCCCATCTGATTGTATTTTGTTCTATAACACACATATTATTATTTCTGAATGTACATTATCCTATATTGGTTGATTTTTATTCAAATGTCTAGTCATCAATTCCACTCATGTATATAAATGAAGGAAGAAAAAGTTGTGTGAGTGAGTGAGTGACTTGGTATGATTATGAGTGGTCATCAGTAAATATTACTACTATATAACAACACTGTGTGACGCTTTATCAAAATAAAATGGTATCTGTAACGGAGTTATGGTCTAGCACAGTGTCCAAGTTTTATATTTGTAGGTGCAATGTTTCCTGCCGATTCCGAAGTGCACTGTGATGGTGGTGAGCCACCTCACATGGTTAGTGGTCACACTGCAAACTTGACTGATTGATATAATTCAGTCTACATTAAACACAGGACTACCCAGGCACACCACGACACTAGTTACTTACTAATTACTGTCCAGTCAAAATAGTTTGAGAATTATTTGAACGCGAAGTGGTGCTCCCGTGTATTCCTCACACACACACATACGCGGGCACACACACACACACATTTCTGTTGTTTAATTTAGGCTGAGGTTTATATTAATTTACTTCTCCTCTTTATTAATTTTTGTTTATTGATAGTTTCTGTTGTCTTTTTATTTTTCAAAAGAATGGATACTGAATGAAGAATGCTCTTTTCGATAACCTGCTCTTCATCTGGTTCTACAGTTATATATGCATCCATTATAGTGAATGAATGAATGAATTAGTGTTATGAACAACATTAATGTTGCTGTTTAAATAACATCGAATGAATAATATTGATAGATTACAGCTCAATGGCATCAACATAGAATAAGCTGAATGAATGTCAGAACAATTAGGAAGGATAATGATTCAAATTCATGGATTTATAGTCTCTACTGAAGGCCGACTAGGGCAGTAGTAATGGCTAGCTGGACTTGCTTCTTTTGAACACAAAGCACTGGTTGCTTGAGGCGAATTGTAATAGCCTCTGCTGTTTGAAGCATGCGGTGCTTCAATGATTTTGGCAATTTATTAGGCACTCGGTAGATGGTAGAGAAGGATTCTTCAATGCTGGCTGGCTGGCTGGCTTTTTGGCCGACCGGTTTGCACCAGATGGTCGAATATCGAACTGTTGATGATGGTTTTAACTACACCTTTACTTAGCCATACTCGGAGATGTTCTACGTTGAATAATTCAGTTCGATTTCATGATATTCTATAATACAGAATGTATTATATAAACGTTTCTACTTGTGTGAACACTCCGTTTATCCCAGATCGTAGTTTATTATCACTGTTGTTTCATTCACGCATGTATTGATTAATTTATCTCTTCGGTATTTTTGTAGAAGTCCTCCTCCTCCTCCTCGTCAGCGTCTTCATACTCATCATCATCATCCACAGCATCATCATTATCATCGTCTGATCAATCTCATTCATTGAAACAATTGAATCTATTCTACAATTCATTGAAACATTTAATCACTGATATGATTACAAAAACTGGGGATTACACTACTCCTAGAGAAGGTAACAATACTGCTGGTGGTGGTGGAGATGTCGTCGATATGGAGGTAACGCCGTCACAGTCGTCATCATCATCAGGATCATCATCATTAACAGCATCGTCATTGTCTTCTTATTACAACTATTGCATCCTTTTAATTGAAGAGTGTTTACTCCGACTTACTGAATCGAATCAAGAGCAAATGATGACGCTGTCTGAGGCATCAGTGAATTCAATTGCTTCAACTGCTATGAAGACAATTAAATTTCTGATTAAGTAAGTAAATTATTATTATTATTATTCAGAATTGGCTTTAGAAGCAAAACATCAAAGTTGTAAATTACCTGGTACTGGTTTACTGTGGAATGGATAGGTGAATTGTATCATGAATTTGCAAAACTAAGATCTGAATTTTGTACTCTATTCGATAAACTTGCGGTCCCCCTGTTTATTGATTTTGAATCGTGCTATTGGGAACTGGTGAAGTGGTCTATCTGTGTAGCATAGTAAATGGAATCTTGATACTTGATATTGAAAGTCAATTGGAATGAAGTTCTCTTCAATAGTTTAAATCTTAGTGCTCAATCAATCGACTCCCGTCCTTCCACTATCTATAGTTTGTAATGTCTTATTGATGAAAAGTAACAAAGGTTTATTAAATGAGCAGGGTTTAGCTAGTTCACTTTTTTGGTGGGATTTGTTATGAATATTACTCATTCTATAATACCTCCACTCTAATTAATATTACCGAGCTTTCTCTTCGATTTTCAATTGTTTATGGACTTAAGCACACTACTCTCAGCCAATGAGTCATGGGTTCAAGTCTCGCCTTATTTTCTTTGCTCTACCTAAATTTATAATATCATCAACCTTCGTGCAATCAGAACCTCGCGTGGTTTACAAGTTCATCAGTTTAACACGCCGTCCTAAGCCTATAGAAATAGGGAAGGTTGGGCGTTGCTCTAGCAACTCGTTCTCGGGAAATCAGCCTAGTCGTTACATATGCTTCAAAGCACATTACAAATATATGTAAAACAGATTTATTCTTCTCTGGAGTCGAAGAGACGGAATAACACGGGTTGATTGATGAAAGCCTTCGGGAAGCCAGTCAGCTGATTTGTCTTCCTTCGGTGAGAGCAAACAGAGGAGCATACATTGATACATTGATGGATCTGAACTTCACTGATGATTTATGTCTGATTCTCCACAAACTCGTTAGTCTACAGAAGAAAACCAAAACAAGTTGGCAAAAGAGGCAGACAGTGAAGACAGGACTCCATTCAAGGGAATATAAAGAAGTCGAAGGTGTAATTCAGAGATACTCATCGACCTACAATAACAAGCACCATCCACGGGAAGAGTTTGAAGGAAGTCCTGTCTTTCAATTACTTGACATTGGCTACATCATTTCAACTACAGACAGTTGGAATGAATGATGATGATGTCAAGATCAGGATTCGTGTGGAAATTCGCTTCACTAAACATATGAAGTCGGTTAGTTCGCCTATATGATTCAGAGTCTTGGAGTACACTTTACTGAAAGCTTTTCTGTAACAGGTTGTTTCAGCTGTGTCGCTCTATACTGACGGACACATGGTCAGAAAGAATAATCGATGCAGAAGTCTGGCAACAAACCCAGCAAAATATATACCGAATAAAGTAGAAATTGATCGGACATAAGCCAAGGACACCGTTGAGTGGTCATCTCACACACTTACACACACACACACACAACGCTCTCGAGTGAAGCCAGAATGGGGAACAAGGTGTTAAGCGTTGGATGGTGAAATTGAGGTGGTGGTGGTGTACAGGGGCAGATAACATTTTATGGGCAATTGTAGAGCCAGCTGAAGAAGACTGAAGATGTGTTGATGAAGCCCAAGGGAATAATAATACTGATAATAATAAAAATAATAATGGAATAATCTTCGTCGCCTGTCTTCTTTTTTTAGTCTAACTAGTATTGTACTTCCTCTTTCTTTCTGTCTGTATGTGTAGATGTTGGAATTTATTGGAAGATAATTCCACCGATGAAAACGACTTGAATTCAAGACAGTTTCCAATAAAATCGAATTCATCCAATGATATTTCATCAATTGTTAATTTACCATTAAAATTATTAACCTGTATCGAGGATTCTGGTGATAATAACAGTAATAATAACAATAACAACAATAGTGAGGGTGGTGTAATCGCCGTTCCTGCTGCTATTGATCGTCGTGATGAGGATGCTACAAATTCAGTAGAATTATCTATCTCTGAAGCTTGTCGTACTGTCACTGTCATCACTGACTTCTTAGTATACAGTATACGTACATCTAGTATAGTGTTATCCAATTGGACAATGAATTTTTATCTGAAATTAGTTTCATTATTATATGAACATTTAAGATGGTAAGTCAATCATCAGTGAAATTAAATAAGTTTTTTTTAATTCATAGTTTCACACAGATCCTTACGGTAATACAGAAAGATTCACTAGATGATGATGATGATGGGCAATCGTCTGCCCTCTAAATGGCATATCTGCGGAGCCTCTTAGTTCTCGTAGATCTCTGTGGGTGTCAAATTATGGTATACCATCTAGTGTTACATCATGCAGACGGATACGATTCCATTCAACATCTCGACCGATAGCTGCTACCTTGATGTGATGAAATGCTATGACCCTTAGAGCTACACTCGTCACACACACACACAGACTTTCATAAGCATACAAAGCTTTCTTAATCAATTGTAATTGTACTCGTGCCACTGTGGTCTATCCTTACGTCTATCATCATGTAACTTGAAACACAGTCGGATAATATAGAGCTCCTTACACTGCTCACAGTAGCATTCATGATGCTTTGTCTTTGACCGGTCATACCTATCTATTTTCAGTCGTATTTCGGTTAACAAAGCACTTAAAGGTTGATGGTCAGTAGACACGTGTAATTTGAGTGTGTAAGCCTAATTTATGTGTGCGTCGGTGGCACAGCGGTTAGGACGCTCGCCGACCATGCACATGGTCCGGGGTTTGATCCCCGGCCACGGACGCACCCCTTTACCTCGCTTAGCCAGAAATAATGCTGGTAAAGAGGAAAGATTGGGCATGGGGCTAGCAACCCCATCCTGTAAAAGTAAACACCACTGCTACAGAAACTTCAAGCCACTAGCTTGAAGCCCCATGTTCCACTGGGAACGTGAAGGAAAAAGAGAGAAGCCTTATTTATATATTGCTGGTTATCTGGCGACAGCTAGTTTTTTTTATATCCCACTATTATTTTTAATTTTGTTTTTACGTTTTTCTACATACTTTTGATTAATTTATCAGGGTAATTGTTGTATCAAAACTTCTCTTATATGTTGATAATGATCGTGATAATAATACTGATAATATTGACGATGCCATGCATGTGAAACATACGCAAGTTAATGACAACACCAACAATAGGGAATATAAATCATCAATAGTAATTCCATACAAAGAAGGAACTTCGGACATCTTACGGAGAATTCTTAACTATGAAGAAGTATAAGTGGCTGGCTTTCAAAACCACAAACTTGGTTAGAAACAAACTTTGTCGGCTTAAGGATCAGTTTTTGTGGAGCCAATTAAACAAAACAACTTAGTTTATTAAATATTCCCATAGTAAAATTTAGAACAACACATTTAAGCGAACAATATTGTGCTTTCAATTAGATCTCATCAGGCTTAACTCTAATATACACAAGTTTACAAATAATAATTCAAATATAAACCAGTCATGGTGTTTTGTGTTAAGGATAATAAGATGGTGAATATAAATTGTGCAATTAGTCATAATAGTAGTAATGATAATATTAATAATAATAATGGTTTTTTCAAGTATTGGTTTTTGTAGGCATTTTGTTTGATTGCATGGAGGATTTAATCATGAGCTGACATCAGTTAGAGAACCACTGGAAAACCTGGGAGTACTGGACAGCCGTTTCGTCCTAGTTTGGGACTCCTCAGCAGTACGCACCCACCGGGATTCGAACCCAGGACCTTCTGGTTACAAGGCGAGCTCGTAGACCATTGAGCCACTGGGACCCGATCCAATGGTCCTTGAATTCTAACTTCTGCCAGTTCACGACATAGCGCGACCACTTCGCAATGTCTTCTTCGATGAGTTACTGCCTCATCTTCGACCTGCTGTACCCTACTGGTCACGGCTTCCCACTAGAACCCCAGGTTAACTGCCTGAATAGGGCCAGTCACTAGTGAGCATCAGATGAATTTTCAAGTATTGGTTTTTGTAGGCATTTTGTTTGATTGCATGGAGGATTTAATCATGAGCTGACATCAGTAATAAGGTTGAAAAAGTGAGGCAATCTGTGATAACACGAATAATGAAAAACAGTATGATTAAACAAACAAATGTTCAGGTGGAATTAGTCGATAAAGGCTAGTAAAAACAAATGAACTGATTAAGTAATGCTAGACTGATTGTAAGGGAAGGAAATGAAACACGTTTATAATGAAGATGTGATAAGATTAAGGGATGATAAGAAAGGGGTTGAAAATATAAATAAAGGGTAGTGTAGAAGTCATTAGTTGGTTATGTCATAATAGACCAAGGGAGGGATAATGGCTCTACAAACTATTTAACCTAAAATATGAGAAGAAGAAGTTCGTACAACCATTATCCCTCCCTTGGCCTATTATTATTATTATTATTACTACTATTATGACTGTTTGTACAATTTATATTTACCACCTTATTATCCTATAGACAAAACACCATAATTGGTTTGTATTTGAATTTTTATTTGTAAACTTGTGTGTATTAGAGTTAAGCCTGATGAGATCTAATTGAAATCACAATATTGTTCGCTTAAATGTGTTGTTCTAAATTTAGTTTATGTAATACCCTGCTGGAATGGTCGTCAGGTCAGATACATAGGTCAAAGTTAGTAGACTGGGGTCAGTCAGTCAGACTAGCGGAGCATAAAAACCTGACAACCTCTGAATTAGTTGACCGTGATAAGATAAATAATCTGGTGAATAGCTAAGCACTACATTCTGTTGCACACAAACATACAATAGGATGAGATAAGATGACTGTTTTAGAATATAATGTAACAGAGTGAAGGGAGAGATTGATAACAGAAGCTTTGTCTATCGAATCAACTGAAGAGAATACGTGTAATAGGAATGATTCAACACCTATCTCCTACCCCTACGGCATATAGCAAAAAGAGTTGGTTTTTAAGGATTAGATTTGTTTTTACAAGTTTAATCACGGATTGTTAATCAGTTAGAGGAACTTTGATAACGAGCATGTCTTGTAACCGGAAGGTCCTGGGTTTGATGACCACCCCCCTGTGGTGGATGCTTACTGCCGATAATTCCTTAACTAGGATGAAACAGGTGTCCAATGCTCCAGTGCTGGTTTTCAATGGTTCTCTAACTGATGTCAATCCGTGGTCAAACTCGAAAAAAATAGGAAAGAGTGAAGAAAACTGAAGTTTCGAAGTGGTGTAATTATAGTTGCTGATATGATGATGAACAACAATAGATTGTTTGAAATGTTGTCATTCAATAAATAATACTGCTTCACTGTGTGATAGATATATCTAATCAACAAATTAGTATGGAATTACGTACTACTACACTGTCGAAGTTTTACACACATATATTAAGTCAATCTCTTAGCTGCGGAAGTCAATTGGGGCCAATTCCACCAGGGCACTTATGTTGAAATTAAACAGATAAGAGGATAATGAACATATCCCTCACGGACACCACTATGGTTATGCACACTTCAGAAGACATCTCTTCATAACCACCTGTTACATGGCTGTTTGACTTCAATCAGATGTGGAATTGGAAGCGGTTGTTTAGCCTTTCGATTGGATACATTTTTAGTCGCATAAACTGAATTAGCTTATTCACTTTCTATTAATTCCTTGCTAAATTTCTCTTCGGCCTTTATTTTATTTTACAGCATTGAAGAAAGTATTCCGTGTTCAGCTCTACCAATTGAGCTACGTATTTATCAATCTGGTGTAGAGTTATCTGAAGAGATTCCGCTTGAGTTGAAGTTAAACGCCTATTGTGGATCAGTTAGTGCACCACCCAGTATTGTTTGCTTGCATTTATTTCACGAATTTTCAATACTCCTGTTTACTTCGTCAATTGCAAATAGCAACAATAGTAATAATACAATAATACAATTATGTCGAGATTCTACAGGTATTGTCAAACTTTTAATCCAACTAGCTATACGCAGTTGTAATGAACTACAATCGATCAGTGCTAGATTTTATTCACCTGATCTAAGATGGATTCTTGAAACTGGTGGTATTCGGATAGATGCTACTGGTGCTACAACATCTACTACCACATCTACCACTGATGATGGTATCGTATCCAATGCTGGTAATACTGCTACCACTAATATTAATAATAATAATGAATGTTCAGGGAATAAAGGTCAAACAACTACGGATGAATACATGGCGCCTATATCACCGGATGATAATACTGTCGCGTGTACTGATGACCTGCAAAACAGTAGTCTGTGTAGTAAATCTTGGCCTAAAGGTTCGGTGTGTTTAGCTCAAGTGTTAAGTTGTACTATCAAGTGTCTATTGGGTAATTGTTTAACTCGTGAAATAACTACCTTTTATCAACCAACTGAGAAATATCTATCGCTTGATTTTGTTGAATCGTATGAATTTATGAAAATCTATAATTGTATTAAAACAAAATACGGAGATGGTTTTATGAATTTTATCCCAGAATGGATAAATACAGTGAAGAATTTATTTGATTCATGGGATGTATTTGATCATCAACAACAATATCAACTAATGCAAACACAACAACAAACACAACACCAACAACAACAACTCCAGCAATCGAATTGGTGGAATTCACCAACCTTATCGTCAGCTGATTGTGATACGCATCAAGAAGAAGTAAGTTATCAGAGTTGCTCACTTCCATTTTTTTTCTTTTTTTGTGAGTATTGATGCTACAGGCAAGTCACACATGTTCTGAAGATTTTACTGCTTGCTATGAACAACCGCTTCAAGGTGAGTGGGGATGTATACTTTTTCGGGGTTGATTTTTCCTAACTCGTCTTCTTCTCAGAGCATGGAAGCACAGTATAATAGAGAAAGGCGTTCGTCGATTGCCTGAGGAAAACATCTTACTGCCGCCTGCTGCTGGTGCTGTGGCATGCGATTCGCTCCCGCAAAATGTAAGATGATGGATGCAACAGAACTGGACTTGGCTACACTGACTCCTAGTTTAGAAATAGGAAGTGAAATGGTAGAGCACGTTGACCGCTTCACTTATTTTGGAAGTACCATCAACCAGTTCCAACGGGTTGATCTCTGACGAAATCTCAGTATGGATACAGAGGGCTAGTTTCGTGTATGCCAGTTTACGCTGTCTCTGGATTAGTAGACGTGATATCCGGCTGGCTATCGACCAAAGGGCGGGTGTACTGCTCAGCAGCAGTATTCTCCGTCCTCCTTTATCACTGTGAGTGAGACCTGGACGTTGACAGTGGAAGACATGAGAAGCGTAGCTAGCTGTCTTTGACCATAGGTGCCCGAGTTCTAACTCTCGTGTAAAATGGTATTGTAGGGTAAGCAATATTGAGTTTAGGCCTCAGTTGAGGGCTTGATCAGGAAGGGAAATCGATTGACGAGGCTGTGGAGCTGCATCGATTGAGATGGTTAGGACATGTGTTACGTATCCCTAGCCATCTATCTTCTTCCTCCATAGGCAATGTTTCCTGACAGGATAGATCAGGTTGGAAAAGATCTAGTGGTAGTCAAACCAAAGCACGACTTTATCAGTCAGTGAAATGAACAACAGTTAGTTTAATCCAGCCAGCCATATAGGAAGGTGTAGACTTTCTGACTGGTTCGGGTCCTCGAGATGGTAGAAACCAATGACGGCTGGAAACAGTTGGTGATATGGCTCAAACTCATCGTTCTCAATGGCTGGCCGGTGCAGATGCATCCACTCCTTGTGACTTATAATTTCCAATGAAACTCTATTGTTCTTCGTTATTACCATTCCTTTTGTCTCACACCTCTGTTTACTGTCTCTATTATGCATTTCTTCTACTTTCTTCTGTTGGTTTGTATGCTACAAGGAGTGGAGTGTGGCGAATTGAACTGCTGGTGCTGCTTCGTCTTTATTGGCCAATGGTACAACCTTGTCTTCAGACCTCAAACATGGTGTAATTGATTTTCACTATAATGTTGACTGCTTTTTATGTAACTGCTATCCATGTATGTTATGCTGAGACCTTCAGAGGGACAATTGTTGTGGCTGGTTTGATCATCGCTACACGCAAGTCTAACGACCGTGTTAACATATATCACCCATCAGTGGAGAGATTAAGAGTGTGATTGTAAAGAGTTTTGGGTTTGGTATACATTGTCCTTTATCGCGCTTGAATTCGCCCTGTAGTCACCAAAATAAATAATGCCACACATTAGTTCTCTGTATTTGAGCATACTTCACTATCTATCTTCTATGGAGCCGGATGTCGATAGAAGAACAACGATAAACATGAAGTGGGTGGTAGTCACCTCACCTGGTGATCTCCAACATCATATCAGCGGTGGGCACATATAAAACACATAGCTATACACTATATACACCCCAAGGATGACACAAGTTGGCAAATGGTAAACGAGTCCTTTGTACACGTTAAGGCTGACGCAAATTCGCAAATAAGTGAAATGGCCAAAAACTCTCTTTCCCCTTAAATCAGGCATCACTGTATACCAATTTCGCAGCATCCAAAGGGGAATCGTATATCACACCTACTAAGATTTCTGTGCAAGGTGTTCGAAAGGCTGTACTTTGTCAGTGTCTTCACCCAAACAAGGCTGTATCATCATCTGCATACTCTAAATCCATGAAACTGCACTGTGGTAACAATTTGATTCCTTACTCGCTAAAGCCGACTATCTGGACACCAATGAAATTTCGTAAAAAAGTTGGACTGAGTAAAAGTGCCCATTACAATTTTTCAAAAGAATGGTTACTTACCAAACAATATTCTTTTCGATAACATCAATAGGTTCTATAGTTATAACTACACAATACTGAATGAATAGGTGTTATTAACAATATTAATGTTGTTTCAATAACATCGGATCAATAATAATGATATCAGTGGATTACAGTTCGATAGCATCAAAATAACAGTACACTACAGATTTTTTATGCTCGGGAACATCTACCAGTGTGTCTGAGTAAAGGTGTAGCAAAAACCATCAACATTTTGATATTAGACCACCTAATCCAAATTGGCCACAAAGCCATCCAGTGTTGAAGAATTCTTCTCTCTCTAGGAAGGAACAGATATTTCCTGAAAGTATATATGAATAATTCAGACCAGCGGGCACGTACACGCCAAGATTGTATGTACCTAAATTACATAGACCGAGGTTAGCGTTAAGACTAATACTTCATATGCGAAGTTCGCCCTACCATGCTCTAGCTAGATGGTTAGTAAATATTCTCAAAACATTGTATGAGCAGATAGGGAAACATAACATCACCGATGTATTTGAATTCGTAGACAAAATCAAAGATATTAATACCAAGGATAAAACTGTGATATCTTTGGACATAACTTCTTTATTCACAAATGTACCTCTAGCAGAAACGGTTCACTACATATGTGAACATGTGTACAATCAACCAGTCGATGAATACTGCCATTCCATCGAAAATCCTGAAAGAATTGTGATTAAGATGCACCATGAATGTAAATTTCAAATTTGATGGCACACTTTACAGGCAAGTGGACGGGGTGGCGATGGGGCTCCCTATTGTTTCTCACTTTGGCAGATTTCTTTCTGTGTAAACGAGAAAATGCACTTCTAAATAACCTTATCAGAAAAGTCTCACTTTATTGCCGGTATATGGATGACAACTTTATTTTCTGTAATAATGATTCGAATAGGAACACAAAAACAACTCATTTCAATGTAGCGCATTCTTCTATGAAATTCACGTACAAAGAGGAATCCCAAAAATAGAATCGCCTTCCCAGATATCCCCCCTTACAAGAAAACCAGATGGTAGTATAAAGATAAATGTGCATAGAAGAGGCACATGGACAGGATAAGTACAAAAGTAATCTAGTAAGGACCCTCAGTCACATGGTTAGAGCTATATGCTCAGCAGAAGTAACTGTAGGATGTACTAAGGATTGTAAACTATACCCTGACTAAAAATGGCTATCCAGACAAATTCATCACGAGAAATATGACTTAGAGAGTTGAAAAGGACTATTCACTATCCGTAGACAAGAAGCCTTCATATATATCAGTGTTTTCAAGTATGCTATGTGCTTTGTGCCGTCTAAGTGCAAAGGACTGTTACAAGTTTGGCGGGAGCCTGTGCCTGCACTCACTCTTGCTTGTAGGTGAACCGCTTGAAGTTGTTGATAAGTTTGTGTACCTGGGTAGTTGTGTGAGTGCTGGCGGAGGGGTGACGGATAAGATTTCCAACCGTATAATGAAGGCTAGGGTGGTATACATCAAATTGAGCCGCCTATGGCTCCGTCGCGATGTTAGCCTGGCTGTCAAAGGTCGGCTGTACGGTGTTTCGGTGTGCGCATTCTTGCTCTACGCCTGTGTTACCTGGCCTCTCCAAGTAGGCTGAGGATGTGCGGCGACTCTGCGTGTTCGATCATCGCTGTCTCCGCAGAATTGCTTGCGTTCGATGGCATCATCGCGTGAGTAATTCTGAGCTTCGGTGGAGTGTGTTTGGACACAATAGAGATCACCATTCATTGAGTGTCGTCATCTGGAAACACCGGTTCCGGTGGCTTGGAAATGTGCTGCGAATGTCATCCCAGAGGCTTCCATACAGGTCTCTGTTCGCTAGTCCTGGGACGGGATGGAAAAGGCGGAGGGGTGGTCAGTCCATGACGTGGCGTCTTGGGATGAAGGATGTTTGTGCTAGGTTAGCATCGGTCGGTGCATCGTCAAGACTCCGTGGTTGGGGTCCGCGAGATAGCTCGAATCGATGGCTCGAAACGTTATTGGATATGGCCAAGAATCGTAATCAATGGCGAACGTGTTGCAATTTCCTTCTTTCTTCCTTTTCCGATGATAGTTAACGAATACTGTTTGAACTTGTTAAGCATGACTGTTATCCTTCCAGATGAAGTTCTTTATCCGTTCTCTACTTACATATATATATATTTTTTCTCTTCTTTCTTTTTCTTTTGATCTATGTTTTTTTATTATTATTGTGTGGCGCATCCTTCTTGGTGCCATATTGTACCAAGTTTTTACGCGTTTAAATAAATAAATAAAATAAATAAATAGCCTTCATACATACGAGTGCAATTCAAGGGCGATATACCTGTTGAAATAATTAGGAAGAAATTAAGAAATTCAGTTCAAAGAATTTTAAATGGTGGTCAACTGCAAGCCATATTTTACTACACGACAGGTTGTGATTTCCCAATTGAAAGATGAAGTACCTAGACTAGCTACTTCTAATTGTATCCACCAATTCAACTGTGCTTTTGGATATAGTTTTGTTAGCCGTCGCTCTGGGAAATTGACTTTTCAGGCTCACTCGAAGACATCTATCTGTGAGATTAAGTAGAGGAGTGGCGAGAAGCATCAACAGGTTGATATTAGACCACCTGGTCCAAACCAGCCAAAAAGATGATATTGAAGAATCCTTCTCCATCATTCATTAGGTACTAAATAATTTGCCAAAAACATCGAGGTACAGCATACTTCAAACAGATGAGGCTATTGTGGTGGGTCTTGAGACAACCGATGCTATGTAAGCAGAAAAAGCCACTTCAACCAGCCACTTCTACTGCCTTTGCTGATCTTCAGTGGAGACTATAAATTCATGAATATTGTTAGAGAACCATTGAAAAACCATTGGACGGCTGTTTCGTCCTAGTTTGGGACTCTTCAGCTCCCACCGGGGTTTGAACCCAGCACCCTCTGGTTACAAGGCGAGCTCGTATACTATTAAGGCACTGGGACCCGATCAAATGGCCGGCCCATGAATTCTAACTTCTGCCAATTCTGTTCTCTAACTAATGTCAGCTCATGATGAAATCCTGTAACGAATCAAATCCCTACAAACCAACACTTGAATATCATGAATACTGTATTATTAATTTTCCTGATTCACCTGTTTGGTAATCAGTGTATTTTAATGTTGATGCTATCGGACTGTAATCCATTGATATTATTATTATTATTAATTTGATGTTATTTAAACAACATTACTAATTCACTCACTGTTATGTATATATAACTGTAGAAGCTGATGATGAGAGGGTTATCGAAAGGAATATTCTTTTGAAAAAATGTTGAAATCGGATATCAGTGACGGATACCACTGGTTGTGTCTTTCCTTTAGATGACAACTAATGTGTACATTATTTATAATTTTCATTTTGACTTCTATCCAAATCTTTTGTTAATCTATTGCTTTCTACCTTTGATTTTGTCGCATTTATTTCTCTCCTAGTGTCTAGATTGGCAGTGTGTCAAGATCATATTTCTATTCGCCTGTCCTAGTCCTTTCCCAGAATACGATAGTCTTAAAACCATGTCAATATCAAATGAGGTAGTCTATTTATTTATTTTGAAATATTGTCATTGCATATAATGTGTATATTTATTGAATATGTCTTTATGGAGTATTTGTTAGACTTCTACAACTTGTGGTATTATAACACATCAACTTCCAACCAATTGATTCTTGTTTCCTATCCTTCTCTATCTACTGATCTGGACAAGTCGATAGTATTTCTTCCGTTCGATTGGTTGGACCGAAGTAGTGCTCGGCTTCAGGTTGACATGTTTGTTGGCTTCTTGTGCAGATGCCTCGACGATATGTGGGCATGTAATTAGAATTTAATTGGTGGGTGATGACTAGCAGGAGAATCCAGGATAACACGCATTTCGTCCCATTTGGGACTCGTCAACTAGCTGGATGTACCTGCATTCCCTAGTAGTGGCTCAAGTGGTCTATTGGATAACGCTTTGGTGTTTGAAACTATGGGCAGTGGGTTCGAGCCTCATTGGTGTGAACATCATCAGTTACTGGTGAATGCAGGTACATCCAGATGACGGGTTCCAAAGAGGACGATATGCGTGTTGTCCTGGATTCCACTGCTAGTCACCATCTACCAATTAAATATATATATATATATATATATATATATATATATATATATATATATATATATATATATATATAATTGTAGAGCGAGAAGTGGAAATTATCGAAAGGGATATTCTTCGCTCAATATATTTTTGTTTTTCTGTATATATAATTTCAATGTAGTTCTCGTCATTAACCAGTGTTGTTTAGAGGGAAACATTGAAAACCGTGGAGCACTGGACCCATGTTTCATCCTAGCTTTAACAGTCCCAAATAATGAAATTAATCCGAATTCCTATGAAACTCATAATCTAAATGTCAATCTCCAGTTCATTCATTGGTGACTACTGGATGTGATGGTCATGGTCAGCGATGTCTTCCAAGTCGATTATGGGGGTAGATATCTACCGAAGACACTAGTTGGTCATAACTCCTTGTGTCACAGAATAAAAGAAGTAAGAATCCATTGGCTGTTGGATTCTATGCAAGTGACTGAAATAGTCTACTGACTCGCCTGTCAAACCTGATGGTGCTCGATTCAATCCCTGTTGACGAGTTATTAGTGTGTGTACAGTTGAAGAGACTCAAACTAGGGCGAAATATCTGTTTAGTACTCCACATTTCTCAGTGATTGTCTAACTGATATTAATTTATTGTATGTTCAATGTTTTCTTGTTTCTGTTGGTTCTTTTTTCCTCTTTTTTTGGCAGATGTTAAAGTTTCTTTGTGATGCTGCAAAAATTATGCCAACTTGTGAACTTGACAAAATGCTACCAAAATCTAGCATAGACACAGTGATACAATCGAAAGCTAAAGAAATACACTTGCCTTCAGTTCCTAAAGGATTAAGGTTGGTGATTTAGCTGAAGTTAATTTTGCATTTCGTGTTTATCGATTGATTGATCGATCGATTGTATCGGAGTGTGAAATGCTCTATCTCTTTTGACATGTCAGATCCGAGCTCGGACGCTTAGAAACAAATACTAATTGATACCCGATGCATAAGAGGGTGGTTCTTGTGGTTCAAGTGGCCTAGTGGTTAACTCTTTGGTGTTTGAAACGTCGAGTTCTGAGTTCGAGTCTCACTTGTGGGATTATATGTACATCCACTAGCTGGAGAATCCGAGATAGGATGAAATGCTCATCCTCGATTCCATTGCTAGTTACCATCCACCACATAACATTAAGCTTTTCAATTCTGGATTTATTTCTTGTGTAACGACAGAAGACAAGGACCAGACTGATATATATATATATATATATATATATATATATATATATATATATATATATGGTGATCTCTCTTTCTGTTTGCTCGCTTAGTCTGTGACCATTTCACCTTGATGAACCTGTCTTCTTTAACAATGTATATTCTCCTTATATTACATATAATATGAGTGTTTGTTGACAGTCCGTTGCTTGGTGACATATATCCATATTATATGTGTGGTTGTTGACATGTCTGCTATATTTTGCTATGTATATTTGGATCGACACTCCATTATAATTAGCCATTCATGTTAAGACTGTCTAGTGATTTGTTCACACACTTGTCTGGATGGTCATATATATTTCGCTCTCACATCTTGTGTGACTTGCTTTACTTACTTTTGGTGTGATACCACTTCTGCATTCTCCTTGTGTTTGGAAAATAGAAGTATCATCGCAAACCTAGTGGTCTTCTGATTTCCGCCTTCTTGCGTCAGGACTATTAAATTCTCGACCAGTACATAACAATAATTTAGCGACGAGTACATAACACAGACATTAGATTGTTTATTGAGAAAATCAACAGATATTCATAGATTTCTATTTACATTATTATTCGTTATTATTAGCAGTGAAGCAACGTCCTCTGATTGGTTGTTTTCGTGCTGGAGGTTATTCTGTGGCCACTTCTTTGAAGGTCAGACCATGTAGTTGCAAATCGTATCTGCCCACGCAAAGTCTGCTGTTATTGGTTGTTGAGTTAGTCTTTGTGTTTTTTTCTCATGGCCAAGACTTAGGACGTAAACATTGACGTAAACTGTTGTCTACTAATTTTGGCTAGCAGACGGCTTTCATCACACTTGTTGCTTTTTACATTGGTATTTAATTTTAACAATAAATCGTATGTGTAATAAATACTCATTCGGTTTTATCGATACCACTAATTACCAAAATAGTTTATTAATACATATATATGTTGGTGCATTTGATTACTAATGAGACTAAACGCATATTAATTGAATCACTTTGTTGGCGATTAAATTATGAATGACTCGTAAGTTTGAATTCTGTCTCATTTTCTTCAGTTTGGGTGGGAGACTGGGCAAGGTCATAAACTCGTAAACAATGAATGACTTTTAACTAGTAGTGTGTTTTTTAGGTTGGTCGCATTTTCAAACAGATCCTATTCTTGCTATGATCGTCGACACACTATACAGAGTATTGGAGGTGTACGTCTCTTAGTGCCACTGATGTATTTGCAGTTCGAACAATAAATTAGTTATCCGGATCTTTAGTAGGAATAATAGTTGATAGCGAGTAATCATCGTTTCTTTTCTGCCTTTATTATTCATGTGTATTGATTGATAGTGAAATGAAAATCTAGTTTTCTTCAGAATTTGCACCAACGACCTCCGATTTTTTTAGTTTAGTGCAATACTGGTTGAACTATGACACTCAACTGTGCTAACCAAGTCATGATTATGTGAAAGGGTAATGCGCTGGACTATTCAATTCGGAAGACCGTAGTTTCAAATCATGTCGTGTGGTGTGTAGACTTTCTTCACTTCACCATCAATCATCCCTCATTACTGACTGACTTACTGGTTGTATTTTAACATAGAACTTTACACGGAAGTGCAACAATTCGAGTTGACACACTCCCTCCATGTAGTACACAAAGATAGGGGAAAGACAGAAAAAAGACATCTGGAAGAACCATAATCAGCAGAAATGTGAGGGAGAAAGAAAGAATAGTGTTATGAAGGTTTAATAGGATAATAAAAGATCAGTGACAGTGATTTAACGTGCGCTACCCTCAGCCATATCATCAACAGTCCCTGGCCATGGGTTCTTAGTATCCCGAGGTCCTAAATTAGGCTATCTACAACTACCCATATGGTTCAGGCTGACTTCTAAGGCTTCATGAATTGATGAATCGCCGACGTAGAATATAATTTACTTATTGGTATTTCTGAAGATAATAAATGACAATTGTGTAATAACTTATTGTAATGATTTGCTTATCTGCCGCTTTGACAAGTTATATAATTTTATCGGAAAATATTTTCCAAGTGGTAAACCGCTTGATTTTTCAGCCGGCGTCCCCTGTTTTCGAATTTCGCTTTTCATACATCAGTTCAGGATGACTGAGTATTATCATCTTCCTTGCAGTTTGTTGTACTTGTGAAGGTCACAGTTATTCCTCTTGAATATTTCACCCTTCCACTTCATATATCTTTAGGTGGATCTGTAGTTCATCGGTGTAGACTGTCGACTTCCGACCACTATGTCACAGGTTGGAAATTCCTGCTTAACCTACCGAGATTGTAGCAACTGAACAGTACATGTATACCCCTCACACAATAAGTGTGGTCAGATTGTGAACTGTATCTGACTGACTGAATGTCCTAGCCGTCTCAGTCGATTCACTTTCACAGCTTTATCGACGTTCTCAGTGGAATATGGGGCTTCACGCTAGAGCTTTGAAGTTTCTGTAGCAGTAGTGTTTATTTTTACGGAATGGGATTACTGGCTTCATGCCCAACTCTTCCTCCTTTACCAGTCTTATTTACTAGGTTAGTGAGGTAAAGGAGTGCGTCAGCTAGAGATCGATGTCTGGACCACAAGCGTTGTTGGTGAACAATCTACCGTTGTGCCATCGACATCATTGCTCCCTATATGATACGGCTTAATACGGGAGATCGTGTTCAAACATCTGTTGACGAAGGCAGGGCGCTTTTTTTTCAATGTCCATTTTGTCCCACAGTCATAAAGATGTACAGAGCGAAGTGCTGCACATCTCTAGCTAGTGGTCACATCTACAGCAGAGATACGATTAACGTGATTAACACTCCCCCAACGAACAAGACTGTCTATCTCAGATAGTTTCATATATTCATTATTGAATATATTAACATGGAAGTTTTAGTATTACCAATAATTTAAAGAAATTTAAAACATATATATGTAATTCTGTTATATTCTTTAGTTTCTTGACGAAATCAATGTACTACTTAATTGCTGATCATTATATGAAGAATAATCAGTTCCCGTAAGTGACGCTTTCTCTTGATTGATATTTTCACATGTAGTGTCTGTCTGTCATCCTTCTGCTGCCGTTGTTACTGTTGTTGTCTTCGTTTGCAAACAAAATTGTTGTATTTTGAGATTGACAATGAGAATTGCTGGATTGCATGGAAGATTTCATCATGAGGTGACATCAGTTAGAGAGGCTTGTCCATTGGATCCAGTCTCAGTGACATAATGGTGTTACGAGCTTTCCTTGTTGCTGCAAGGTCTAGGGTTCAAAAGCCGGGGGGGGGCGAGTTGTGTACTGATGAAGAATCCCAAACTAGTGGGACGAAACAGCTGTCCAGTACTCCCAGCTGGTTTTCCAGTGGTTCTCTAACTGATGATGAAATCCTCCATATGCAATCAAACAAAATCCTTACAAATCCAATACTTGAAAATGAGTAACGTTCTTTGAGTTTCAGTCACTAGGCATATTTGTTTTTCTGTTTGTGAAAGGCTTATAAATATCAGTATTTGTTTCACTGAAACACATTTGGGAGTAGTTTTATTATTACCTGAGACACGTCTGATACTTTCATCATACAGAAAGATGGATCTTTAGTAGCGAGAGATGTAAAGCGTAAGTAATACACTTAGGTTAGGCGTCGTTGAGTGTCTAGGTAAGAAGGGGAAAATCAATCGGTGAAGTTGTGATGCTATCACCGTCCTCGACGAGCAGTGTTAGCTGACATTGGATTAAGTTGGAAAAGAGCTAAAAGAAGGATATCAGTCCATCAAGCCAGGTACGGAGGTGTAGACTGCTATCTGGTGGTTAGGGTCATCGGAGTGTTAAAAACCAACCACTCTTTGGTTGAGGACACTCGACGAAATGGTTGGAAATCGTTGTCAATGGCTGGCGCAGATGCACTGACTCACCCACCAGTCACTTAGTCAGAGATGTAAGATGTTTATGTCTAAATAAGAAAACAGCATGGGATTTTAGGCGTCTGCATTTTCATGAGTTAATTACTTTTTAAACCTTGTGAATTTATTATTTGTGGACACCACGACAGTATCGTTTTCAACTCTTTTCTACTGCGGTTTGAGACAATAATAGCTATATGAGCGACGACTTTGTGATCAGCCAATAGGTCAGGCTTTATTATCGTGTCAAATTAGCATCGTCTACTAGGTCGCATTATTTTTTCATAGTATTGAAGAGCAGAACTCTGGGTACAATTTAAACTGATATGCATGTTACTGAATTGAGTTTTTGGTTTTCCCGTCGATTGATCGGACCGAAGTGCTCGGTCTCAGGTGGCCAATTGTGGACCAATCGTATACTAATTAAATGCCCAGACATCGTCGAAGCATCTGCACAAGAAGCCGACATGTCAACCTGAGACCGAGCACTTCGGTCCAATCAATCGACGGGAAAATCTCAAATTCAATTCAATAATTAATATGACCCGTTGCACAAGAGGTGGCTCTCGTGGCCCAAGTGGTCTAGTGAATAACGCTTTGGCGTTTGAAACTATGGGCACTGGGTTCGAGCCTTGGTGGTGGGAACATCATCACTCACTGAGAAATGCAGGTACATCCAGATGACGAGTCTCAAGTAGGACGAAATGCGCTTTATCCTGGATTCCACTGCTAGCCAACATCCACCAATTGTATGATATGCATGTAACTGTAGCGTGTGCTGCTGACAAGATTTATCGCCAGTTTATAGACACACATTGATAGGAAGTAGCCAAAATTGAATATAGCGTCAAGGTTCAACCTTTGGAAAATCAATAACCAATCAGAACAGTTTATTCTCATATATATATATATATATATATATATATATATATATATATATATATATATTGTCTCAAAGTTTAACCTTTAGATTTTCAACAACCTATCAGGATAGTTTATTATTATCCGCTCACCTAGCCAATCAGAAATATGCCTAAAAATGTACAGGTATGATATGATTTTCCTCAACAAAATAGTCCGTTACCAAGTCTCTTGCTTTCTCGCACTGCAAGGCTAGCTGTGCTTTGCTTATATTTAAAAAAGACTGTGCTTTAATGTGTATTGTAGTGTTAGTATTATGCACGTGGAGCTGTGACTGTTTTGTAGTTTAGAACTGCAACTCTCTTTATCCACCTACCCTCATTTGAGCTATCAATTAGAGGCACACCAAACAAAAGAGAACAAACAAAAACAGGCCGCGTGTGACCGGCCTCAAGCAGTTGTCCCCTGGGCTCTGCGGTCACGCAACCAACTTCCACGGTGTGGGCAGCCGGGAAGTAACAAACGCCCTCACAATCCGAAATGCACACAAAACCTCTCTAATCCTCACTTATCTTTGTCTTCATCTTCATCTCTATTACCTTGCCTTCCTCCCACTGATGCAACTCCTCTACTTGATGGCTCCTCACTCCCTCTTCACTCTGTGTCCACTAAAAACGACGAAAGCCAAAAAACCACCACCGATAGTCTCCTAAAGCCACGCCACCAATTTCATATAGGAGCATTTAATGTTAGGACACTTTGCCAAATAGGACAACAAGCATCACTAGCTAAGACCCTGGCATCCGAGCCATTGATGTATGTTGTGTTTCAGAAACACGCATACAAGACCCAAGTGTGGTTATTCACCTAACCCCACCTGGCCAACAGGATGAATCTTCAAAATTCACCTTGAGGGTGTCAGGAGATGCCACAGCTAGTTCACGAGGATTAGCTGGCGTAGGGATAGCTTTGAGTACTAGGGCAGAAAAGACATTACTTGACTGGATCCCGGTAGATAGCCGAATGTGTGCTGTCCGTCTGAACGGATCAGTAAGAAGGAGAAAGGACTGCACTACTCGCCGATGCCTTTTCGTAATCTCCGCCTACGCCCCCACTGACTGCAGTTCGGATGAAACGAAGGATGAGTTCTACCAAAAGCTGTCTAGTTTGGTGAGAAAGGCTAAACGCTCAGATATAGTCGTTCTAGCTGGTGACTTTAATGCTCAAGTAGGGAAATTGTGTCAATCTGAGAAGGATGTCGGTGGCACCTATGGAGTTCCGTGCCAGCGAACCGACAACGGTGACCGTCTCCTACAGTTCTGTTCAGATAATCATTTGTTTCTTGTAAGCACTAACTTTAAACACAAGGAGAGACACTGTTTAACCTGGCGACCCCCATCATCAAACCAACGCTGGACACAAATAGACCACATAGCAATAAGCTATCGTTGGCGTGGGTCGGTAGGAGATTGTCGCTCCTTCTGGAACACGTGTGTAGATACCGATCACGCACTGGTCCGGGCTCGTGTGTGCTTACGACTGAACGGACGTAGGAAACAGCTGGCGGTAAAACCATCACGTCCCCAGCTCGATCAGGAAACTAAATCCCTATTTGAGGAAGAACTAGCTAAACGCATATCTGAATTCGACAGCTGTGCTCACCCTGGAGAAGCCTGGAAGAATATTCAGTCAGCTATAGATACAGCTGTAAAAGCTGTGAATAAGGCAAATCCAAAGGTGAGTAAAAACCACTGGATTTCGACTGCCTCATCCGAACTGATAGATGCTAGAAGACTTATTCCGGCGAGCTCCGAATTCAATGAGGAGCGAAAGCTGCACAAAAGGAAACTTACTAAAAGTCTCCGCAAGGACCGTGAACAGTGGTGGCTGACAAAGGCAAAAGAGATGGAAAAAGCATCGGCGATAGGCAACACTAGGCAACTCTTTAGACTCATCAGGGAAACGGGTGGGAGAAGGCAAATCATAAGTGAGACTATTTCTGAGAAAAATGGCTCCTTAATTAGCTCTCAGGATAGACGCCTTGAACGCTGGAAAGAACACTTTGAGGACAATTTAACTTGCCTACAGCCACACTGAACCTCCCCGACATCCACACACCCGAATGGGATATAGACACTGGTCCGCCGTCTGTAGTGAGGTCACAAAAGCTATCAGTAATTTGAAACGAGGCAAAGCGGCAGGACCCGACGGAATTATTCCGGAGGTGTTTAAATATGGGGGTGACATACTAGTTTGTAGATTAACTGAGGTACTAGGCAAAGTCTGGGAATCAGAGACATGCCATCAGACTGGGGTAAGTCACTTATTATACCGATATTCAAGAAGGGAAACAAGTCCTCGTGTGATAATCATAGGGGGATCAGCCTAACGAACATAGTCTCTAAAATCCTAGGCTCAGTAATCATGCATAGACTAAGCAGAACTCGGGAGGAACAGACAAGGGAAAATCAAGCAGGCTTTAGACCAGGTAGAGGGTGCATAGATCATATCTTCACTCTTCGACAGATTCTAGAACATAGACACACTTTTCGGCGTCCAACAATTGTCATATTTCTTGACTTGAAGGCGGCCTTCGACTCCGTGGATCGAAAGGTACTATGGCAATGTCTGACTGTGAAGGGAGTGCCAAGAAAGTACATTGCACTAATCAAGGCACTCTATTCCGGGGTTCTCTATGGCTCTGAAACATGGCCAATACGAGTTGAAGACATGAAAAGGTTGACTGCTTTCGATCATAGATGTTTGTGATCTCTGTCTCACGTTAGGTGGTGGTATAATAAGGTAAGTAATGTTGACGTTAGGCGTAGAGTGTTGGGCAAAGACGGAAAATCAATCGACGAGGCTATAAAGTTACATAGACTAAGATGGCTAGGTCACGTGCTGCGCATGCCTGGCTAACCGTCGCCTCCCCCGACGGGCATTGCTAGCTGATATAGGTTCAGGTTGGAAAAGAGCCAGTGGTGGCCAAACAAAAACATGGCCTCATCAATCCATGAAATCCTTGACAGTTAAACTGAGTCACGTAGGGAGATCCAGACTCCCGGGTTGGGGCCCTCGGGACTCTAGGAATCAATGGCTGGAGACAATAGGTGACATGGCTCAAAATCGTTGTCAATGGCCAGAGCAGATGTATTCAGTCTCTGTAATCTTTCATATTCCTTTCTACCATTACCCATTCTGTTTCACTCTTAAACTTTTCAGACTGTATTGATTCTCTTCACTCATCTTCTTGTC